TGTCCATAGTGTATTGATTTGTGTTTGGGATACTCAGACAGGTGAGTCGAGTTCTGTGTTGTAGTATACTGTGTGTGTGCATGTGATGTATAGAACTGTATAGAGCATAGATGTAGTAGAGTGTAGATAAAGTATAGACAGGGAGCTCAAGGCTCATAACCTGTTAAGAAAGGGGGAAAGAGGTTATGTGAGAGGCTTAGAGAGATCACACAAAGAGGGGGGATAGTGGACTCAGCTCACTCTCTTGCAGCTTGCTTCATTGTCTGTTGATTAGTTAGTCTATATATACTATGTAGGTATGTCTCAGATGTAGAATGTATGATGGAAGGTATTCCATCATTGTTTGTCATTGCTTGTAATGTAGTTTATATCATCTGAGACATACTCTTGTGTAGTCTCATCTTAACAGTATGTCAAGCTAAATAAACAGGAAGGTGTTGAAGAGAACAATAGGTTCTGGAAAATGTACAAACAATAAGTTAACTCAAACACAAGTTTTGTAGAAGGTTGGATAATTGAAGCTTATAAAATATGTAAGAATGATTTAATAATATTACAGGGGAAGCTAGAGGAACTCCTAATACTATAAACCCTAAGCAGAGGTTGGTTGTAAAGGACTCTGTATAGGATATTTTTCAGACTTTCAAGTGTATTAGCTTTACAACTTGACTTTCCACATCTGTTGCTGCTCTTTCATCAGAAAAAAGTTGCAACAAATGTATTTAATAATAGCAAAAGTAATCTTATAAAATGATTTCATAAGCATTACATTTTAAAATAATACTTATATTTTACTTGTAATGTAATTATAATGATTGTATATAAATGTAAGAAATATACAAAGTTTCTATTAAACTACAAACATGTTTTAGAGCAAGTAAGCTTACTAATAGTATTATTACAACATTACATGTGAGGTACAAGTACTCAACTCTTATTGTAATCTGTTAAAATTATATTATAAGTTATTTGTAACAATAGTTGATTAATTATAATAGTCATAAAAGTAATACATTGTACTTGTAAGTTAATTACAATACTTTTAGTACAATAATATGTAATTATATATATTAATATTGTTAACAATCACCCTGTTAGGCTTATAATATAATTTTTTCTATTAAACTATATATCGAAGTGCTTACATAATCGAATACTGAAGATCGAGAGCATATAATGACGCACTTGCTCTTGTCACTCCTTTCCTCCTACCTCCACCATCTCCCCCAACCCTCTTCCCCCAACACTATGTTGTTGCTTTTGTCCTCTCCAGTCCAGTCCTCTGCCTACAAGCGTCCTCCAGCAGGCACACTGCCTGCAACCACCTAGACAATAAACATTACTACATTGTCTCTCCAATCTGCTGTTACAATGCCTGTGCTGAGCCTCAGATCCTGTGACAACACAACCCAGCTGGCTACACCATCCTTCAGTGTAAATTGTAAGCAGCCAGCCCACTTCATAATAACACACACAATAGTTGCTCATCCCTTTCCTCCCAACTTTTTGTCTCCTTTTCATCCCTCCTACTCCTTGTTCTGCCTCTTGCATTGCCTCTCCTTTGTTGTCCTCCTTTTTATTATTCTTGCCTTCTTTTTTTACAGTTGCATTCATGCATCCACATTGTTGATCAATGCCAAACGACTTCTCAATAATTACATGCATTCGCATACTTCTTCCCGCTCAGCAACACAAGCAACAATCAATGAGCACACACGAGCACGCTTGCAACAACGTCCATGTACCACCACTCTCAAGGCACAATCCTCTCTCCGACCCCCCGCCCACTCTCCTTCTCTACCCATTCCATGTTTAACATCATCCTTGATAGGCTCACACTGCATGCATTTACATTCCCTAGTGCTGTGCATGACACCATTTTGAACGGAAGCAGTGACCCACCACTCCCCACCTGAGGCGAGTCCATCTGCCTTCTACTTCACCTTCACCTTTCGAGCTGGAACGTCCTAGAGATACACCTTGCAATCAACGACTCAGTTTACTACACCTTCCATTGGACGCTGTAGATAAACCATAGACTACACGCACACAGACACTGTTTCGTCCACAGTCCGAATCAACTCGTTCAACACTCCGGATCTCAACCTGCATGCACCACTCACACTTACTGCACGCCGTCGCGGTGCGTCCATCTTTTCTTTCCTATTGTCACTTGCTAATCATTCTAAACCTGTCTCACAGGCGAAGCCTCAACCTCTACAACCTGCTCAACCTCACAAGTCACACACATACGCAATTCAACTTTGCAGGGACTGGGTGACGACCAAGGCGCAGTGACGAAGACTACATCGAACGGCCCAAGAATGCATCAATCCTTTACTGACGCGAATCCTGCTTGCGAAAGAACGAGGCAGAAGCTGCTGGTGGTGTAGGGATTGGGGCTGTAGAAATAATGTTTTATTTACTATCTTTTTGTATTCTATAATTAAATATAATTGCATTTTATTAATTATTTAATACAAAATTGTAATCAAAGCCAAAACAAGCTGTTCAAATGCTTGTAGTAACTTATGGGGATTGTAAGCAGACATTATACTTTCTCAAATAAATAAGTATGTCTTGGTCTTGTAATCTTAGGAAGTATGTTATAATCACTTGTATAGCTTGACAATTTATACAATTATAATGGAAATTGCCAAGTTTTACAAGTATTCTTACTTACTTATTTAACATTGTACTTTCCTTGCTTAACCCCCTATGAAGATTATATTAACATTGACAAAATTTATAAAAGGTACAAAATGTATAGGATTACAAGCAAGTACAATACTTAAGACTTTTTCGTGATGTTGAAAGATCGACATGTGAAAACAACACTAATCTTGATTCTTGACCGCGATCTTCCGTTCCGAATGCGCGATCTGTCTGCCAAACGTTTATCCGCTCTGGACTTGATTCCCAGTAACTCTACTTCACTACCTGGCCTTCTATTATCTATATATTGGAACTTCCGTCCGCTTGTCATATGCGTTGAAGAAAACTGCCCGAGCCTATAGCATTGGGGTCTTTCGTTCCATCTTACTTGACCACCCGCTTGACTATCTACCATCTAGTACCATCTAATGTCGATGCTATTCTTGCAATGGATTACTGATTGCCTTTGTATTCCCTTCTTACTTGAAGTTCGCACGCTGAGGCCCCGCGGATGACCTATAACACTCAATCTGCACAGAGTTCATGGACTAAGTTGAATGCTATTATTGCCGTACCCTATATATAAATCGCAGCGATATGCGTACCCACAGGTATCTCCACTCAACATGCCCGGTCTAACCCTCCCGCCTTTCCCGGATAACATCCCTACTCATCCTCTGTTGGTTATTGACTATGAGCTTCTGAAGTCGGGAGATTCAGAGGAGATTGGTAAGCTATGGAAGGCTGCGACGGAGTTGGGATTCTGGTAGTAAGTGTCGAGGCTATACTCTTCGTCTGGTCTTTTACGCTTACTTTCATGGGTTTAGTCTGAAAAACCACGGGGCGAACCACGAAGTTGAAGAGATGTTTGAGATGGGTGCTGAGACGTTAAGCCTCCTACTTGAAGAGAAAATGAAGTTCGTTCAGACTAGTGAACTCAACTTCTTTGGGTATGGGCCGTTTCGTTCTTTAGAACATGCACATTAACAACGATTGTAGATACAAAACGTTGGGAGCAACTGCAACGAATGCGCATGGTAATCCCGACAGTTATGAAGCTATTAATATCTCGAAGGAAGATGCTCTGGCGTATCCCGACGTAATCAATCGTACTTATCCATCTACAGTTAATGTGCGAATGCGCTCGACTATCACTCCGTTCGTGAAGAAGTCAATCGAAGTCATCGGTACCATGTATTCAATCTTCGAAAAGCAACTTGGTCTCCCGGAAGGTACGCTACTCGCGCTTCACGCACCCATGGAAAAGAGTGGTTCCGAGTGCCGAGTCATCAGGACACCGCCCAAGCATATGAATATGGATAACGCACTGAATAAGGACAAAGTATCACTCGGTTCGCACACGGACGTCGGTTCACTTTCGTTCCTTCATAATCGTCTCGGTGGACTAGAGGTCCTTCCTCCGAATAGTCCAGAATGGCAGTATATACTACCAATTCCTGGTCATGCTATCTGCAACGTCGGAGATTCGCTCTCCGTATTCTCTAGTGGAATCTTACGCTCGAACATGCATCGCGTTGTTCCGCCACCGGGCGAACAAGGCGCATTTCCACGCTGGTCTCTAGTATTCTTTTCGCGCCCGTCGAGTCGTGTACTCCTTAGAGCCCTGGAGGAAAGCAATATGGTGAAGGAACAACTCAGTCACTTGACACCCGAGGAGAAGGCAAAATATAACCCAGGAGTGACGCAAGGTGAATGGTACGCTAGAAGAAAGGGTTACTCTATGCTCAAGAATAGAACGGTAAATTGCATATATACTATTATGCATGAACGATGCTTACACTGACTCTGTCTGAAAAGGGGCCTGAGACTTACATCGCGAGTAGGGGTATGGAACACAAACCGACCTTTGAATAATCTCCTCCGATGCGGAATCGTTTGACTTTCACAATAAATCATAGTCTGTAAAAATCTTGTCATAGTCACACGAGCATGCCTTCTGACAAAATCCAGTAACACTGCAAAGAAAGATGTTCCCATGAGAAGAAACAATCAAGTGAAATCTGTTACTTTTACGCGCTAAAGGAGATCATGAGATACAGACGGTCCGGAAAATTCACAGATTTTCACTATTTCAGCAAGGAACTTGTCACATAAAAGTTCATTACCGCATATACAGTTAGTGCAAGTTTTATCTATGAACGGAGTTGATAGGAGAAGACTTGTCTTTACATGCCACACAAAGACTCCGTCTTAATACACCACTGCCAAGTCACTAAGTCCGATTTGACGACTACCCTCTGCAGCTATTGGAAGCAATGAATATTAACTACCAATCAATTAAATCAAACATGCACTTTCTGCTCAAACGCACCTAATAATAATTTAGTATAACGGCCAGAAGTTTTGAAATTAACTCGTCCATCAAGCTGAGAAACTTGCCAAAGATATTTTTGAAATTGCTTCCGTCGTCGCACAGAATCTCGGAACAGATAGTCATGTGACTTTACATCACCTGACGCATTATCGCACAGCCACAAGCTAAGCCAAGTAGTAAAACTATATGATTCAAATGTGAATGTATATAATTTAGGGTAACGGAGAAACTAGAAGAGTGCAATAAGAAGATACAAATACATAACCTGCATTCTTTGGCAGCTATAAGCGGATGTACTGGTCCACGAGCACAATTCTGCATTCCAATTACGAATCAGCTGTCTCACTTTCCACCCGTAAACCTACGTGCGGACGCCCGACTCACATTCACAGCTTTACACCTTATTGGTCCTTGAGTTGGTCGAGGTTTCAACAAAAACGTCCTCGACGGTCTCTTTTACCGTACCTAACGCGCTTTTCAATGGGCCTTCGACCTCGTCCCGCTCGTATTCGGCTTCTACGGTCCCCGATGTGACGTCGTCGGCATGGTGGCGCGCGCGGATATGCTCGACACTCTTTCGTTGTAGTGTCTCCGCGTCACCGGCTTCGTTTCTATCTGCTTTCACAGCTGCCTCGCTTGCGGATGCGAGGTACTCATTCCACCCTGGTGCAGATTCATGTGGCGAAGAGCCTTTATGTTGTTTTCCGGAGAGATTCTTAGCTTTCTCAGTTTCGAGAACATCTGGGTCATTGTCATGTACGGTGCTGTAAAGCGTCGGTAAGAAAGTGAGACAATATTCGAATGCTGAGAGACTTGCCTTGAGTACAATCTGAGTTGTGACACGGCTGTTCGGGATGATGACGCGACGGAGCGCGGAGCAGAAGTTGAGGCAACAGCACGACGTGCGGAGCGAATGAACATCGAGGACGACATGTTTTAATGCAATACAGCGGACGACTGGCTTTGTCCAGCCGAGGTGGCGCAAACGCAATCAGGTGGTGGTTATGAAGAGGGTGACCGACAAGTTCGTGTTTGCTTATAAGTAAAACCAAAATGACATATTTCTATTTATTTGAATGTGGGGTACTCTTTGAGTGATCACCAATGAGCAAGGAACGCGCTATGAATGCAATGTCTGACGTCACATTGACTTGGATTCGCTCCAATTGGTTAGCATGGATCCCTCGTTCTAATTCAGTTGAGGATCGAGAACGTCAGTTGGTCATCCTTGTACTAATAATATTATTCATTGGGTACACAAGCACTGCTTGTTCATGAACACCAAGAAATAATAGGCGATACTCTAAACTAGCTTAACGGGATTTCACAGCACTTTTGGATACAGGAGGTTTTCAGTCGGTCTAAAATACAGATAATTGTTACACCTTTTCCACCTTCACAGTAACGAAAACCAAGAACAAAGAATGTTGGTGACAGAACCAGACAGAAGAAAGGGACAGAGAAAGAAAGTGAAAGCAACGAAGGAAAGCTGTAAAGCCACAAATTCATATCGCTTCCCAGTGCGTCTGGGTAGCCTCCGGGTACACTGAACCTAACTGGGGTAGCTCGTACATCATCATTTCATCGTCGGATTGAATGAGGCAGTCATCTGAAAACCCGCAGCTGTCTGAGAGTGGCCGGTCGAAGTAGGTACCCATCGTGCCAATCACGAAGCTACTGTTTGATTGAAAGGAACAGCGTAAATGCGTCGTGACCAGAGATACCTATAGTGAAAGCACATACCTCGACTGCCCTACTGCCGTCTGAGCTCGTGAAGATTGCAACGCGCGTGCATTAGTCTTGAGGCTTAGCACAAGTCTAGAGCCCGCTACGTTTACCACCGCCGTTGCCCAGCTACACATAATAATAAGTTGAGAAGTTCTCTACGATGAGGGTCAAATAAGTAAAGCTTACTATTTGGCGAGACCTTCGTACTCCGCCGAACCAAGCAACCAGACGAACATTGAGAAAAATGTTGCCACTACAAGGGCATTCGTCCTTAATAATGGTCCTGCACAGGAGACCGCAAACATTACATACCAGAAATGGCAAGGAAGTACAGTATCCCATCCCGATAGAGAATCGACGATATAGGATGGTATAAGTTCTGTCGTGCCTCGCGGATCGCTTTGAGAGTCGTCATGGTGAACATCAAGCTCTCCAGGAATATACTGGGGAGCCATACGGTCCATAAGATTGACGAAATCTGTCATTAAAAATTTAACATCACGTCAGCATATGCAGTGGCGTTTTGAGGTAGAAATAAACTATTGCCGGCGCGATGGACATGATCAGGCGCTACAAGGCACGCGCCGCATCATACCGGCGAAACTCCCATGGCCGGCATGAAAAATGAAGCAGAGGGAGATTATGCGGACGAACCTCTTCATAGCATGTGTTGAAATATGGCTCGACCGTCAGTGACGCTAGATGATCATGAATATATCAGTATACACTATAGACTTTCGAGGAAATGAATGAAAAGTTTGTAGAAATCAATCAGGAAACGGAAATCAGCGGAAGATGCGGAGGTGATATAACGACATGGACGACCCTGCCGGGCGCCCGGTTCATGTGGTAGATACACCGACGCTCAAAATAAAACGACGTGGGAATATGTGGAATGCACCGTTTACTCGCCGTGCAGTGCACGAAAGACTTGGAAGGAGGTGGTAAAGAGGTAGCGAAGGGGAAAAGGGGGGAAGCGAAGATGGAACAGGAACGCAGAAAAAGACGAAGAAACATGCTCACATTGTCCGTGTGAAAGGCCCACACTTAGTAGGATAAGCGTAAGGACCGCATACACAATCCATGCGGCCCAGAGCATCATCTTCACGCGTTTCCCTCCGCCAAACAGTGCATGGACACGCATAGCAACGAGAGCTATTCCAAGTAACAAAGCTCAGTTTCCCCTTGACCCGATTCATACAATTTGAGGCGATCCGCACCATGCATGCTCATAAATGAGGCAACCGTCAGGTACCCTTCGAGCCATACCCATACTTTACAACTGTGTAGACCAGCAAGCCTGTGTCAGGGACCGGGTGGCAGCACATTCCTTGACTAAACACTTACAACTAACAAGAGAAGCAGGAAGAATGGAAGAAACAAATTAGTAAATGCTCATAATAAAATTCCGAAGGACGCACAGCAACGCTAGGAGGATTTGCAAGTCCAAGACGATCTATATTAGCCCAGGCACGAAAAGTTAGGCGCTCGATCGGAGATGAAACAGCGAAATGAGCGGAGGGGTGCTGCGTACCGTATATGTCGACCGCTAATATCAAAGGGCTTAACGAATGTGTGAGCTGAGTCTAGGTGCACCAGGAAGCCATGATACTGACATTGTATATCGATTCTATGGACAAGGCAGGGGAAAAAGTGATAAGTACCACAGTTAGTACGACATCTGAAAGAAACTTACTACAAGAAAGATTAACGTGATGGTGCTCAAAGGAGCCTTCCAGATAAGTTCGATCTAGGCACCATTGAGTCTGGAGTGCCAGCGCAGCGAACACGACGACAAACCTCTTGGTTTAGCTGTCAAAAAATCTGATCAGTTTTAGTGCGGGGAGGGGGAGCACGTGTACTCACTGTTAAAAAGTAATCATACAACAGAAGGGAGCAACCAGAAAGCGTCATGTACCTGCCTATAAGTCAGTGAGACTCTAATGCATTATTCACCAACTACTTACTGACTTGCCCGTACAACCGGAATAGCCCGCTCCAGCAAACGAAGTGTTTCCTGCGATACGGCATCCGTCATAGTGGACTACAATGATCCAGGACGAGGCGAGCCTTGCGTCCGATAGTTGAGAAAGGCGAAATGTTGAAGTGGGGAAGAGGGGACAGCGGTCAAAGAGGTCTGCAGACTTTTTGAGCCAGATATTTATGTACACCAGTTGCGGAAGTATAATAAGATCAATTGCGCCTTAGTGCCAGTAATATCGGAGCCGTAGGTTTAAGAGTCCGGATTCCGGCAGTGCCGCTCGGTTCATATAAGAAAAATCTGGGGCCAGCTGATTTGATATCATCCGTTTACGCTGCAAAAGACAGTCAAAGTCTGGAGCAGTGGTGCGCTAATTGCGGTGAATCGGGCCTCGACGCGTGGCTGGAGAAGACATTTGTGCCCTGAGACAGATCAGCCATTCGATTTGTGTTCTGCACTGGAAGTAGGAAAGGGACTACAAATTGCGATCACTTAGATCAGGTTGGATTACCAACACGGGAACAAGAATATGCCGCGGTCGGCTCTCAGCGCGGTCTGGTTGCTTCTGAGATGCACAGCTTGATAAAAATCATACATGCATGCAAAATAAATCCGCGTGCAGTGTTGAGACAAACTTGTACAAATAAACAGACTAGCCTCAAGTCCAGTAGGCGGTGTCGCGTGGGATTGAACATGTTCTGCTACTGCTGTCATTTCTTCGAGATTTTGTACGGCCGTTGTGCCGGGGAAGCCTTCAGAAGAATAAAAAACAAACGCCGATGCGCTCTGGTGGGAATCAAATTCGGCGCTTTATAGGTCCTAAGAATGGAGCGATTGCGCTCGCCGTTGTAAAGCTTATCATTCAATATCTTCTAGAGTTCGTCAGGCAGCGGAAGCAAAATCTGCTACTTCAAACGATTGGCGGCTGATACAGAAAACAAGGAAGAGGATATTAGGTTTGGTCGGCAGGATCTGAGACACGATCGGCCCTCTCTAGTCTGTGTGAAGACGCGTGCTGCTCGTCGCTGTCAACAACACTGACTGGGGACACTGCACCGTACGAATCACGACACGTCCGCAATTGGATGTTAAGCGCTGCGTGAAGTGTGCAACAGACAGAAATCCACGTTCCACCTGGCATAATGCAACGGTCAGACGAAACGCATCTCGAAGCCTCATGATGGGACTGTGCCAGTCGTGATATGTTCAAACCGAGGCGTAGGAACGACGAATCCTGGAGACACTTTGGATAAGGACTTACTGTTGGGAATTGGCCCTTTGAGAGTGCAAGACGGTGCAATCTGTCAAAAACACGAGGCAACCCTAAGCATGTTCGACACGCAAGGTTCATGGAGCACAGCAGAGAAAGACAAGAGCATACGAAGTAAACCGCACTGCAAACCTCGTAGCTATGAGACATCCTAGATAAATCAACGAAAGAACATGACGGCTGCAGAATCCTGAATTGAGCGTCGGAGTGAAAGAACATTCAGAGCCACGAAACGGTAATAGCACTCTCTCGATTGAGTTAAATAATTCTTCGTTTCTTTCTCGCCGATTGAAGTGAATAAGATTTCGACTTCCTGCACTTCTTGTGACCTGATTGGGGTGCGAAGAGGGAATGTTTAAGCACTTGAACAGATGAGAATGAGTGAGATGGCGGTAAAAATAAAGACACGACCGTGAGTCGAGGCGCGACGCGTACAGTATAGTATAAGTCTCGTGTAGCCCTGGCTCTCGCACTCATCCACTAGACAACACAACTTGGAGCAGAGCTCCTGATGAGTTCGAAACCTCCACCTAAACGGCCATCTGGTGGGAGACCAAATGTCCGGAAACTGATATCGAAAGAGTCTCTGTCGTCGCTTGCTTCGTTCACTAGCCATGGACGCGAGACGTCCCAGTCCGAAGTACGTGAAGACTCTGGCAATCACGCAAAAGCACGACAAGCAACGCTGCCACCTTTGACCGAAGCCCAGGCCGTCAAGGAACCAAAGGCACCATGGGTGAGCGACGAGCTTGCTTCGTCGCCTGCTCCAACGAAAGAGGACCATGACCCCTTTGAAGACTATGCAGTGTCCATGAACATGCAGTCTGTGAAGCTGAGGCCTTCAAGAACTGCTACTGCCTCCGAATCCCTGCCGTCGATTCCACCGACTGAGAAAAGTACAGCTTCCCAAGAGCTTGGCGAACCACGCTCGTCGTCCTCTTCTCCTCCACCTGCTCCTGTGTCTCCGTCCAAAATTCGATGGGAGCAATTACGACAACATGTACTTCCAGCTGCATCTTCTCCTGCGCCCAGCTTCACTTCATTCTCACAACTAAATCTGTCTGCTCATGTTCCTGGCACATCCCGCCCCTCTACGCCCCGTCCGTCCCGCTTTGCCGCGCGATTCGGTTTCCGACAGGTTGTAAACGAAGCACGCGAGGTTGCCGACGACTTGACGCGAAGGTTTGCGGATGACATTCAAAGAGCTTGTTGGGCGGTTCACTTTGGGGATTCAAAACCTTCAAAACCGGAGCGAGAGGCAACACAACCTAGCTCGCTAGGGTCAACACTGCACCTCCCGTTTATGTCCTCTACTTCACTTCCATTATCAACCAATATGAGTTCAAATAATCTTTCGGCGCCGAGTTCATTTAAACATGGGCTTCGTGGCATGACTTCCATGGCAAATCTTACTGTACATGCTGGTTCTCGAACGGGTGCACTTACTAACCTCCAAGCTATTATCACTCGCTATGCTTCCCTTTCGATGCAGGAGAGGATGATATATGGAACCTTGCCTTTTGAGAAAGAAATTCTCTCCGTTCTGCTTATTGCATTCCTCGGCCAAAGCAGCAGTCAAAATGTCGATGATGAGAGGCAAGTGTCTATGGAAATATTTGAGACTGTCGCGCGGAGGTGGAGAGCACCGAATCTAGAAGTACATTTCTTTTTGGATTTTGTTACATTTCGTACATATTTTAATTTCGATCTATTTAGGCAATGGTTGACCGGTGTCTATGGTGCTGCAAGGCCGCAGCGGCCCATCCTTCGAACACAAGAACTCATATCCTGCATTTATTAAATGGTATTTTAACGTCTGAAGATAATTTACTGGCATCACCGTTGGCTCTTCGGACAGTAATGTCAAATCTCGCCTTACTGGTTCTACTATGTCGGAACCCTAGTCAACCTACTTCTATGCCTTCGGTCGAGAACGCGAACGATTTATCGTTTTTGCACGAGCTCATAAGGCTGATATTCTCGGGTGGCTGCGGAGGACTAGATTTAGATGAACTGGAACGGAAATATCAGGCGTTAGCTCTAAAATCTGATTCAGAGGAGGATCTGAGGCAGGGTTTGTGCATCGAGGCAATGGCGGCATGCCTTGAAGTTGGAATTGCTGACGAAAGGAAAGAAAGTTTGGGCATCATCGAAGTGAGATTGCATATCATTTTTCCATGCTGGATACTAATTGACAACGCCAGAAATTCTGGCCTTTACCGGATCCATTAAAAGCATCAACTCCTTTGCGTTCGAAAGTACACCTGGGCAAAACGATTGCGTTCCTACGTCCTGTTTTGAACATGCTACGGGACTCGTTAGGCGCGTCAGAGTCGTCAAGGCTCGATGAATTGGATTACAAGATTATCACCCAACTTCTTATCAGGCGAATACTGCCTGAGATGGAGTCGCTGACGTCTTCAGATGAGCTAGTAGCGGAGACCCGTGACTTAGTTGTCAAAGTTACGTTAGCGCTGCTTGGTTCGGACGTGGATGAAGAAGGCGCTGATGAAACCTTTACGGACCTTCGCCATTCCGAGCTGAAGGGAATCGTTCTCGACTGGCTTCACGGCAAGGTCACACCTTGGCGGGAAGCTCTACAGAGAGAGCTCAAGAATCTGGTGCGTGCTCTTGTGATAAAAGGAATGTGATTCTTTTTTTACTGGTGATATAGGCATTGAGCATTGAATGGAGGATTGTTGTCCCGATGATAACTAGGCTGGTTTCTATAATACCCGAAAGCAGCCGCAAGGTTGTTATTGGTTTAATGGTCCCGCAACTCCAGGAGGTACGCTTGTTTCCTTGTTTCGACGAAACATGATCTTCATGGACGTGCTGCACAGCGTATGGTGGATGATCCTCCATCATCTTCGTATGAGCCACTGTCGCGCCTGCTTGCTTCGCTTGCAGCCATGCATCCTCAGATTTTTTATAAGCCACTCTTCGTGTGTGCCGCGTCTACGAAGGAAGAGACGATATCTCGCCAGCTTGCAGTGCTTATTACACTAGCACAGTTCATGCCCAATTTCTGGACGACTGACCCGGAGATGGTGAGCGTAGCGCTCATGAGTGATCCTGGTAGTGGTGCTGTGCCGGGAAAAGGTAAGGCGAAAGAGGGCCGACCACCAACATGGGGCAAGGCGAGATTGGGGCAGAGTGTGGTACTATTGGAATTGATTGGGAAGCTCAGGATTATAAGAGAGGATCACAGCAAAATTCAGGATGCTGGCATGGTGTGTACTGCATTCACGCGTTGCCGATGCTTACCGTAACCTACGGGACGGACTTTAGGTTTCAGGCGTGCCAATCGCGAAAGTCCTGAAATTTGTATCCACCCTTGAGAGCCGATTATCAATTTTGATCGACGCGAAGGTATGGACCTGTTTTTCGCGGACCTTGACAACACTAACTGTCCAATAGGAGGAAAACCTACTTTTGCCACTGTCTCAGCGCATTCTATTCTGTACTCTTTTTCTCGAAATCAGGCTTCTCACGCGATCGCTCAAATCGTATGTTTTCTTTAGTCATTGCATGCCGTTGCCGACTCAGTCTTTTCTAATCTCTGGCCAGAGCAGCCTGGCTTCCACGGATTATTACGTGGGCAATGCAGTACAGTGATGATCCAGAGCTCAGGCCTGCTGCACTTCCCGTCCCAAACGAAGATCTCCGAGATGAAATCGACGAGATTTGGGAAAGATTAGAGGTCATTTATTCGCTCACGAAGACCTCGATGAGACCAGCCAGTCAGGTGAGTTGTGATACCGCCACTCGTTTTCACTGCTCAAGTCAGCCGACAGTGGAGGAACACGTCCGTCGTGTCACCACACGGGGACAATTCGTTTTCGGATGGCTCATCTGATTCACGACAAAACCTCGTCGATGCCCGTCTCAGTCTATTGAGACTTCTGCCAAGAAATTCCCTTTTTAGCCTACTTGAATTACTCGTTGCGATGTCCGGTGCTTTAAAGCACGAGGATTTCTCTCGCCTTGGACCGCTTGTGTGGGATAAATGTTTACAGCTAGGAGAATCAAAGGCTGTAATTCATGTACGTTTGCTCCTCATCTTTCTTCGTCTTCATCTAAACCATAGGAACGTAGGCCTGCTTTATTTGCATGCAATGTGCAGAGAAGGCGCAAGACAAGTTCTTGAACCTGTTGCTTGCTCGACTTCAAAGGTGATATTTCCCAGTCTGATCGAGAAGAAAGCATTAACTTTGTTGTATACAGTCCTAGCGCCGCAACTCGTAGGACGACTGTACAAAGACTAAGCATTTTGTCAAGCTGGCGTTTTCAGCTGCTGTCAGTGACCTATATAACGGATCGAAACTATCGTCGTCCTTTTAAGCTCGCAAGGCCTGCACTGAATTTCGTTGCAACCGATGTGGGCGATAGCAAATATATCCCAGATGATGACCTCGAGGAATTCACGACAGGGAAAGGGCAAGTGCTCCCTTTGGACATTCGACGTCGGTTGCACGAGATTGGATGGGACGATGAAGAAAAACCAGTAGACCAACAGCTTGAATGGCGTAGGACACCAATGTCTTTGCTAGGCGGTACCCAGCTGGATCAAATTTCGAGCTCCGATACGGTAAATGACGACAGCCGGTTTTCTGACCAGGCTCTGAGTCCGAGTCCAGCGACAAGCTCTGGCAACTCACCATCCCCGTCGCCTAGGGGCGATGGAAAGCTCTTGCGTCGCAACTCATCCTCGCAGAGTTTTCATGCTGGAAAACGCAGATCTGTGTTTGTCCAGTCCCTTGTTGCCATTTTCGTGCCGCTAGCAAAATTAGCACTGGATAGCGACTTCACCATTGCTTCAGTTGCTCGTGGCTTGCTTATAGACTATATGCGTGACGATCCCGCCGTAGTTTGCAGACCAGTCATGGAGATCCTGTCGGGGAACGTAGATACCATCGATAATGCGATGACCACTCTGCGATCCTTCCTGCATCTCAGCAGAGTCCTACCTCCTCGTCTTACTCATCACGTCTTCAACCATTTGGCTGGATTCCTGAAGTTTTTGGCGAAAGATCCTTCTGTACCAGACAGTCTCCGAAATTTTGCATGCTCTGTTCCGGTTCTCGCTAAATTTGCCCCACAAGTCAGTGAGATGTCCGTGCGAGCCATTCGGCGAGGAAAGATCGAGGTTTTCTTGTTTCCCTCCGGTTCATTGTATTTCCCCGACTCCGTGCCATCTGGCCCTATGTTCCCCAGAGGACTGCACGACGGTGCGAATCCTTTTGATAGCTTCCCAAAGTCGTTGGTCCATTTGACGATGATTCGGATGTCGCAGAACCTTCTTTTTGTCGACTTGCTGAAACGGAGCCCCCAAGATGTGCATGTTGTTCGGAAGAGTTGGATGCCTTTGGCATTACCAGACATCGACGGTTTCGTTGACACCAGTGATGTAATACCTCGCCGATTGTCGAAGAAATTCCTACACGAGAACAGTAGGACTAGTATTAGACTTTCGCTTTCATTCTCGAGGACCCATTTATTATTCGTGGCGCAGGTTTTTCGATGTTTAACAAGACATCTGAATAGTAGAGACGAGTTAGCACTATTCCTTGATGGAGTTAATCGTATACTCTTACGGCATGGTGATGACATTGGGATAGTGACCCATGCGCTCATTGGTACGTTAATGCGTGCAAATCTCTCCGGGAAGAACTAACTCGCTGTTAAAGTTTACATGATCGCAAGTACTCGCTTTCGACGACTCATGTCTTCTGGGACAGGGTTCACGCTTTTTCTGCCGGCTCTAATCAAGGTCTACTGTGAAGCAGAGGGTGACTCCGGTGTCCGAGAAGCCATTCAATACGCTGTTCATCGGTTTTTTGCGGTCCATGAAGATGTCTTCGTCTATCAAGCTTTGCAGGTGGTTTCCAATCTTGTCACGGAATCGTCCGCGGATGGTGCCTGGATCTCCAGTAACATGTACCGCCTTTTATCCACTCTGAAATCGAGTTCAACGTCATTATATGATGCCGCGGGAATCCGGGATTCCAACAAAACTCAGGAAGAGGAAACTGCCCTGGCTATTACGGCAGACGAGCGACCCCAGATGTTTCTGGCGTCCCTGCGCAAGGAAAGCAAGACAGGCGCAGAAAAGCTTCAGAGCTCTCTTTCTGTGGAAATTTTCGACAGCAAACGTTTCCATCCAGATAATATTGTCAAGATGCTTCTGACCGTCATTGCTCATGATCCGACGGTTAAACGAGCTCAATGCTTCGTACGCTTGTTCCGCCATCTTGTCCCGGACTTGTACGAGGCATCTTCTTCCGCACGTAACGTTCTCAAAGAGGCTGTGGAAGCGCTTGGAGCTATTGTTTCCTCCAAGGCGAACAAAACGAAGGGTGCCGACAACGTATTTCCGAAACCAAGAGTAACTGATGCAGCCGACGAGACGTCAAAGGAGAAGATCATAGCGTCGGCCAAAGCTGTCGGCAACCCTTTCTCGCCGTGTGATATGCAGGTCATGCGTTCTGACTACTTATTCATATTCTCATCGTATGTACAATGTGGTGGAGCGCACCGAGACGTGGGACTACATAGGGCACTTGATATTGCCAAAACCATTCTCAAAGAGACATCGGCACCGCCCGAGTCCGTTGATTCTGTTCGCCTCTTCCTTGAAAGAATTGGAGATTCATTCGGGAAAAGACAAGATATCAAGTATGCGATCACATTGCTCAAGGAGTTCGCGCCGATCATACGGGCTCATGGTAGTATACTGGATCTGAGTGGTCTGTTCAAGGGCTTGACAAAATTATGCTCTGCTCCAACTTTCGCAAATGACAAGAAGTTCGCGAACGTCGTCGTGACTCAAATTTGCTCTGCTGCATTGGAGGTATGCGAGTTGGCAGCGCAGGAAAATGTCCTGTCTACTCTCAAGTTTGTCCCCGCTCTCATAACGCTTCTTGCTCGCTCAGTATGCTTGATTGGGTCCGATGTTGTAACGGAACTCGAGAGGAGAGATCCTTCGCCCGCTTTCCTCAGTGGTGTAGTTATGCCGTTCATACTGCAACTATACACTACCGCAGAGCTTGCTACTCAAACACAATGGACGGACAGCTGGCGTCAGGACGCCCACGCTCGTGCTTGGGTTCGTCTACTCTCATTCGCTATGAATGCTGTTCAGGGTCAGCAAGGTGGGACTACCAGTTCGTCCCGTGGGTCTATCAGACGATCTCCTTCGTTCACCAGTGACGTTCCCGACCCTAATGTTGAAGGAGACCAGGGGCGCGGATCGTTGAGAAGAGCACGACGACGTCCATCGGCGCAGAGCGGCATAGTCGTATCTGTTCGATTTGCATTGGCATTTGTTACGCTTAAAACTGTAGTCCTACGAGGAGAAGAAGATATTTCTACTGTTTTTCCTGGCGCATGGTTAAGAGTTGCCTCATTACTTCGATCCACGCTACGTGATGGGAACGCAACGTTTGCGCTACGCACCCAGCTTCCTTCGGCGCCGCCGTCCCCTTCCGTATCTCCCGCGACGAGTACAACTTTCACTGACATAATTGATAAGACGTCTGAAAGGAGACATAAGCGTTCATCATCCTCGACGTCGGATGCTTACCTAACTGCGCCGTCTGGCCCGTCTCAGCCATCATCCCCGACGGTCCCTAAGCGGCGCAATAGCTCACAACACTTCCCTCGCCCACGTTTTGTGGACTATCTAGCGTGGTCCCTGTTAGAGTTTCTTTGCCTGCGTAGGTCTCCCCTATCCATGCAAATGAGAACGTACATGCATGAGCGGGTAGTTTCTCTTAATGAGACTCTTCAAAACGAAGATCCGTTAACGAGTTACGCTGGTTTCGGTGGTTCAGGGAGGAGGAAGAGTTTAAGACCTCTCAGTACGATGTTCACAAAGCCGCGTTTCAGGCCAAGGTCAACCGCAACCACACCTGAAGCTTCCCCTCGGCTGAGACCAACGGAAGCGTCCATACCGACGACTGGTACCCTTACTAGCTTACATAGTATTCAAGGAACCACCCGAGCAGATTATGGTACTCCGTCTCCTAGAAGACTGAAGGGAGGGTCACCAATAAAACATCTCGGTATCTCTACGCCTCCTGCAAACGCATTCCTCTCTCCATCGTTTGTTCCAGTATCAACCTCCGCAGAATCACATCTATCTCAGTCGAGTTCAGCAGAGAACGTTGGACAGACTGATATAGTGTTGGACGCACGTCAGGCTCTCGCGATGACGACACTGGGTTCTCCGGGGCTTGTGAAGCGAACTTACGAACGGATACGTGTCGTGCAACGCTGCCTTGGCTATAGCACCTTCCTCCCGATTCCTGACGCTCTAATGAAGCATGTCGATGTAGTGCCAAATAATTTGAATTTACCCTACTCAATCGCAGACACTCTAGGGCAGATGTCTAGTAGAGCAAGTCAGCTCACTGGTTGTATTACCGACGCCGAGGAACCCGACGTGCACACATGGACGAGAAGAACGGCTGCAATGCTGCTGGTGGCAGAAGCACAGGAATTACTTCGCGCATGGCAGATAGAATTGGCAATTACTACTTCTGCTTCTGATTTGGGTCATGGTGTTGGGACGGTGAACGCTGCGACTAGCGTGGAGGACGAGTTCAATGCACTAAATACTCCAATTGTTCCTACATGGCAATGATTTGTTATTGTATATTGATTAGTAGATTAGATGTACTGTGCTTTCGTATTCAGCTTCTATTCTATAACTGTATATGGTGATCTAGGAATGTAGCACACGGCAATTATTTGTGCTACTAACTGTGCACATGACCTTCACAAGTTCGAAAATGGACCTATTCAATTAGTTGACAGAAACACACGTAGGCAAATAGAATTTCTGTGGGAAATCTTGTGTACATATCAACAATCAAGGATGTAGATTCGTACATGGTACAGTAGGGATATCAAAATATGATGCAAATTTGTTTGTATACCATATTCCAATATGTCTGCTGAGTAGGCAAATAGAAGTCCTGCAGAATATCTCGTGAACATATAAACAAGAGCATAGACTTATACTACATAGGCAAACAGAAGTCCTATGAGGTATATTGGATTCTTGTGAACATATCAACAAAGGGATGGAAATGTCGGGAAGCATGTGGGGAGACAATGGTCAATGACAGTATACGTCTATAACAAGTACCCAATCAACTAGAGAGACAGAGATGCAGACAGTTAAAATAGATGTGTTGCAGCATGCGTTGCGGGCTGCAAGGCAATGACAGTATATGTCTGTAACAAGCACCCAATTGACTAGAGAGGCAGAGATGCAGATAGTTAAAATAGATGCATGTGTTGCGGGCTGCCAGGCAATGACAGTATGTGTCCGTAAAAAGTACGTGATTGGCTCGAGAGACAGAGATGCAGACGGTTAAAATAGATGTGTTGCAGCATGCGTTGCGGGCTGCGGCAGGGTCTTGGAAGAAGTGAAGATGCCATTTACGGTAAGCGCGTGCCCTTCCAATTTTACGCAGTGGTGTACGGATTGTGTTCTGCAGTACAACGTAGGATGTGAGACCAAGCTGCAAACAGGTATAAAAGGCGAGCCCTCAGAACTCAGTATGTATCATCTCTTAACGCTCTATTCATCTATGGCTACCTCCACTGAGACTGCACAGAAAAAGGGCTCGCTGACTATTGCTGGCACCGGTATCGCCAGTATCAAACACATCACCCTCGAGACACTGTCCTATATCAAAGAGGCTGAAAAGGTCTATTATCTTGTCGCCGATCCAGCGACGGAAGCGTTCATCCATGATAATGCTAGCGGAACGTGCTTCAATTTACACGTTTTCTACGATACAAACAAGCTTCGCTATGATTCATATGTCCAGATGGCCGAGGTGAGTTTCTCATCGAGGCTCTTGTTTCGTGAGACTAATTAGTGAGAAAGGTCATGCTACGCGACGTGAGAGCAGGGAATTCTGTCCTTGGACTATTTTATGGACATCCGGGAGTGTTTGTGTCGCCTTCCCACAGGGCCATTGCCGTAGCACGGGAGGAAGGCTTCAAGGCTCAAACGCTCCCCGGAATATCGGCAGAAGATTACATGTTCGCCGACATTGGATTTGATCCCGCCAGTCATGGATGTGTGTCATACGAAGCGACCGACCTTTTGGCCAGAGACAAACCATTGCTTCCATCGTCCCATAATATCATCTGGCAGGTTGGAGCTATTGGTGCTAATGCAATGGTGTTTGATGTGAGTACATAGATTCAAATTCTGCGCTTTTCTAGTTAATAAACTTGATACCAAGAATGGCAAATTTAATGTCCTTGTCGACCGCCTCGAGAGAGACTTTGGTCCTAACCATAAAGTTGTGCACTATATTGGTGCTGTTCTCCCTCAATCGACGTCGAAGGTCGAACAGTACACCGTTGCAGATCTACGTAAGGATTACGTTGTTAAGACATTTACCACAACCTCAACACTCTACGTGCCTCCTTGCGTTGACGCTGGGATCAGCAATATAATGGCAAGGGAGCTAGGACTCGAGGATTCAACAGGATTACGTACGAGGGGCAACCAACCATTACCATTGAAGACTGGACCAGCCATTAGTCTAGCGTCGGTATATGGCTCTCACGAGCGTACTACCATTGCTCAGATAGACAAGGGTGTTACCCCTGACACGCTACAGATCCTTCAGGCGTCCGATGCGATGAAGAAACTGATGGCCGACCTTGCGCTGAAGCCAAAACTATTGGAGAAATACCGTGGAAACCCATCAGTAGTCATTGACGAGGTGACTGGACTTGCCCCACAAGAGAAGGCTGCCCTTACACTTTGTTCTGCTGGAGCAATTTATATGGTAATGGCAGCAAGCCAAATTGATATTGCTAAAGGGCGTCAGTGGTCTACTGAGGAACTTAAGACTGCAGCAGACGTTTCTGCACCTGTTATACTTGTGTTATCACAATATAACACTGTGCATTAATGCATTCCTGGTAAGTCGTTCCTTTATTACACGTTCTTCTCCTCATCAATATTTGTATTGATGGCTCTAAAGTGTCTATCCCTCCAATAAGATTCAAACAATGTGTACTTCGACACTGTATGTTACAGTAGCTCACCACTGCTGTGGCACATCACCCATGTGTAAATTTCTTGGAAGTTGTATTAGTCAAACGGATTGAAGAAGTCTTGCTCAAGAACAATATAGTGATTAAATTGTGGATATAGTGCAGAGCCAGAAAACAAACCAATACATGCTTACGATAACGTAGCAAGGTTGCAAGGGGCTGTGACTCATGAAGCTCCATCGCTTTCTTGTTGGCTAGCTGAGAATCGCAATCACGTGGTGTGAAATATTCCATCACACTCTGACTACTGCTGAATGTCTGCCGTGCTCTTTTCACATACTCTAAATATTAATGTCCTAATGAGCTGTCTAATTGATCAACTACCAACATTCTAGTCATCCGGTCGCGGGCAACTAATTACTGCGGGTGCAATCTACCATTCTTCTCTCGCCAGGCTCGTCTGGGTAGGTCAAACCGGTAAGTCGGTGGCGATGATCAAATCCCACTCCTGTCGGCCATTAAAGGGCGCCCAAGTTGCCCCAGCAGAGATTGAACAAGTCCTACTCTCGCATCCTGAAGGACTCGTCATCGACGCACCGTTGCAGGAGTTCCGGGTCCTACAGAACGTGACGAACGCGTTCTTCGAATGTGGGTTGTCCCCAGTCCTGCTGGGATCGCGTTAGGTGAGAGTGGAGGTGTGAAGAGTTTGGATGGTCGGGTTCGTGAAAGTTTGAGTCGGTGTAAGTGGTTGACGGGAGGGATCGCTGTCGTGCATGAGATACTGAAGAACCCGATTGGGATGGTGTTGAGACGGATGCTTGTTGATGAGTATGTGAAGAAGAAGGCGGTTAGAGTAAGACCTCTCAGTACGATGTTCACAAAGCCGCGTTTCAGGCCGAGGTCAACCGCAATCACACCTGAAGCTTCCCCTCGGCTGAGACCAACGGAACCGTCCATACCGACGACGGACATCCTTACTAGCTTACATAGTATTCAAGGAACTACCCGAGAAGACTTTGGTACTCCGTCTCCCAGAAGACTGAAGGGAGGGTCACCAATAAAACATCTCGGTATCTCTACGCCTCCTGCAAACGCATTCCTCTCTCCATCGTTTGTTCCCTTATCAACCTCCGCAGAATCACATCTATCTCAGTCGAGTTCTGCGGAGAACGTTGGACAGACTGATATAGTGTTGGACAAGCGTCAGGCTCTCGCGATGACGACACTGGGTTCTCGCTCGTGAAGCGAACTTACGAACGTATACGTGTCGTGCAACGCTGCCTTGGCTATAGCACCTTCCTCCCGATTCCTGACGCTCTAATGAAGCATGTCGATGTAGTGCCAAATAATTTGAATTTGCCCTACTCAACCGCAGACACTCTAGGGCAGATGTCTGGTAGAGCAAGTCAGCTCACTGGTTGCATTACCGACGCCGAGGAACCCGACGTGCACACATGGACAAGCAGAAGGCTGCTATGTTGCTGGTGGCAGAAGCACAGGAATTACTTCGCGCATGGCAGATAGAATTGGCAATTACTACTTCTGCTCCTGATTCGGGCCCATGGCGTTGGGACGGTGAACGCTGCGACTAGCGTGGAGGACGAGTTCAATGCACTAAATACTCCAATTGTTCCTACATGGCAATGATTTGTTATTGTGTATTGGTTAGTAGATTAGATGTGCTGTCTTTCGTATTAGCTTCTATTCTATAACTGTATATAGTGATCTGGGAATGTAGCACACGGCAATTATTTGTGCTACTAACTGTGCACATAACCTTCACACGTTCGAAATTGGACCTATTCAATAAGTTCACAGAAACACACGTGGGTAAATAGAATTTCTGTGGGATATCTTGTATACACGTCGACGATCACGGATGTAGACTTGTGTGGTACAGTGTGTAGCACAATTGACATATCAGAATATGATATACAAAAAACGAATTTGCATTTATCTGCTAAACCATGTTCTGAAATAGTTCTCTTATCATCCAATAAGAATATGACTTACAATATGATGTAAATTTCTTTGTATAACATATTCCGATATGTCTGCTGTATTGGCAAATAAGGGTACCAGAATTTACTAAGTCACGTGAAGATAGAATGAATTGAGAACTACCGACTTTATTGACACGTGACTTAGTGACTTCTGGTACCCCTACAAGAACATGGACTTATACGTAGGCGAACAGCAGTCCTGTGGAATATCTTGTGAACATATTAACAAGGACATGGACTTAGACGTAAGTGAACAGAATTCCTGCCGAATATCTCGTAAACATATTAACAAGGGGTAGAAATGTCAAGAAGCATATGTATGTGGAGAAGCAATTATTCTATGACAGTGTCTATCCTCTCCACATGTCCATAAATGTTTTATGCAATAGATTAGAGAGGCAGAGATGCAGATGGATGCATTGCGGGATCGTTGCGGGATGCATGATAATGTGCCTTGGAATGTCTCGCGGGAAGCGAAATGTCAACATTGAGGCAAGGAAGGACAATCCGTGATACACTGATGGTGCATGATGCAGATGCTCTTCTTGTCTCTGTATCCATACATTGCTGTACAACTTGTACATAACTGTGTTACGACTGTACTATACAGTACAATGTAGGATCAGGTATAAAAGGCAGTCTTTGGAACACAATTGGTACCATCTCTCAACGATCTATTCATCTATGGCTACCTCTACTGAGACTACAGAGAAAAAGGGCTCGCTGACTATTGCTGGCACCGGTATTGCCAGTATCAAACACATCACACTCGAGACACTGTCCTATATCAAAGAGGCTGAAAAGGTCTATTACCTTGTCGCTGACCCAGCGACGGAAGCGTTCATTCAGGATAATGCCAGCGGAACGTGCTTCAATTTACACGTTTTCTACGATACAAACAAGCATCGCTATGATTCATACGTTCAGATGGCCGAGGTGAGTTTCTCCCCAGGGCTCTCGCTTTGTGAGACTAATTGATGAGAAAGGTCATGTTGCTCGACGTGAGAGCCGGGCACTCCGTCCTTGGAATTTTCTATGGCCACCCGGGCGTTTTTGTGTCGCCTTCCCATAGGGCCATTGCTATAGCACGAGAGGAAGGCTTCAAGGCTCACATGCTCCCCGGAATATCGGCAGAGGATTACATGTTTGCCGACATTGGATTTGATCCCGCCACACATGGATGTGTGTCATACGAAGCGACCGAGCTTTTGGTCCGAGACAAGCCGTTGCTTCCATCGTCCCACAATATCATCTGGCAGGTTGGAGCTATTGGTGCTAACGCAATGGTGTTCGATGTGAGTGAACAGAAGAAGTTCTGCGCAGGTCTATATCTTTTAAACTTACTCGATATCCAGAATGGCAAATTTAATATCCTTGTTGACCGCCTCGAACAAGTCTTTGGTCCAGACCATAAGGTTGTGCACTATATTGGTGCTGTCCTCCCGCAATCGACGTCGACGATCGAAGCATACACCATCTCTGATCTCCGTAAGGGCGACGTTGTGGAGAAATTTTCAACGACTTCAACACTTTACGTGCCTCCATCCGTTGAAGCCAGACTCAGCGGAATAATGGTTCGGGAGCTAGGACTTGAGGATTCAGGATTCCACACAAAGAGCAGTCAGTCACGAACGTTGTGGGCCGGACCAGTTACTAGCTCAGCACCGGCATATGGCCCTCAGGAGCGCATTGTTATTGCACAGATAGACAAGGACGTTATTCCTGACAGCCACCAGATCCTTCAGGCTTCCGATGCAATGAAGAAAACGATGGCTAACCTTGCACTAAACCCGAAATTGTCGGAGGAGTACTATGCAAGCCCATCAACTGTCGTTGAAAAAGTGACTGGGCTTTCTGAACAAGAGAAGAAGGCACTTATACTTTGTTCTGCTGGCGCAATTCATATGGTAATGGCGGCAACGCAAACCAACATCGCTCAAGGACATCAGTGGTCTGCTGAGGAGCTTGAGGCTGCAGGAACTCCTCATCCTGCACTAGCTCTTCTAGTTGTTATAATATGCCTTATATAGTAGTGTAAATTAAATCGCTACAAATTGGCAAGTTCCTTGTGAGCCATCTCTCCACCATACTCTACCTTTCCTGCTTGCGTCTAAACTGAACTTTTTACAGTGTCCATCCCACTGATGTGCTTTTAACAAGGTAGTACCTCATTAAATAGTGTGGTTTGCACTCGCCCACCAATGTTGCAGTACATCGTCCTTGTGTAAATTTCTTGGTCTGTCAAATGAATGTTATTGAGTCTTGTTTGAGAACAGAATATTGGGTTGAGTAAATTTATACACAGATAAAACCCAGTGCTTGGAAGGCAGATGAGTCATCTCAGATACCATTGTCTGCAAAGGTGTGATAATGATTTGGTTGCAAATTGTGTCTGCTATAGTGATAGAATTTCTCTATACAAATTTTGTATTCCTGTTTCCTTTCCAAGCCACACACTGTACAGTGTAGACCAATCGCTTTCTTCGTGTTGGATAACCGAGTATTTTGAAATCACGTGTGAAGCAGACTGTGAACTCCTTACTTACTAAACTGTGCAGATACAATATCCTAATCACCTGTGAAAGCAGCTGTTGCTCGATCAGCTACCCATATCCTAGTTATTTCCTGTCTAATTTCCTGGTAGTCGCAGGCAACTAGTTTGAGTGGGTGCAGTCTACTATGGCAATCAGTTTTCCTCTCCCACCGACCTCGTGTTTGCATATCGAACCGGTAAGTCGGACATGGTGACCAAATTCCACTTCTGCCGGTCATTTCAGGCGGACTTTCTTCCGCACCGAGCTGCCCATCATTGTGCCTTTCTTCAGACCTTAAGTCTTAACTTTGCTGCTGGATTCCTGTCGGGCTCAAGCATGGTCTACATCAAGAGTCCTTATCCTTCCGTACCAGAGCTACCACCTCTCAACGTACATACGCTACTATTCGAGCGTCCGCCTGGGAATACTATTCCACGTGATTTTGTCGTCCATATAGATGCTCTGACCGGCGAGGAGCGGACGTATGGGCAATTTGTTGAACGTGTTAGGGATTGCGCAACGGCGCTTGCAGCCCCAGTGCACCAAGGAGGTTTATGTATACGACATGATAACGACACGACGGAGATCATCGCACTATTCTCGCCAAACTGCTTGGTAAATATTGATTATCCATTGTTTATATGTTATCAGGACTAACATCTGCTGTTAGGATTACATGACTTTAGTACATGCTGCGTTGGTCGTGACGATCCCATTTGCACTTATTCCGTCAAAACCTACTATGCCTGAGCTTATTTACTTGCTCAACAAGTTAAAATCCGGCTCTAACAACATAAAAATACGCTTGTTCACTCACTCGTCGCTCCTTGGTCAAGCGTTCAGTGCCTCAAAACAAGTGGGCCTCCCAACTGATTGCATTTATTTAATCGACTCTGGGAAAGCAGGCTCGAAAACATTAGACATTGGTTCTCTTATCCAAAACGTCAAGACCAAAAAGCTTCCTCGACAGTCTGTGGTTCCTGCTCAAAAGAATACACTAGCTTATCTCGTATTCTCAAGTGGTACAAATGGACCTCCCAAAGGTGTGTTTCAACATTAGACAGCGGTGTACCCTCAAGACTTATACTGATGTTCACCTTAGCCGTTATGATTTCTCAAGGAAACTTATGCTTTACAACAATGCAGTCCATTATCGGGAGGATGGAAGACTCAAAATACGTACCTGTGAGTTAAGAGCGAATTTTTTTTTGTTATTTAATTCAATGATTTTCTAGGCACCTCCAGCGCCACCACCTCCCCCCCGTTGGCTTTGTTTCCTTCCCTTCTACCATTCAATGGCTTTGCACTTCTTCATCCTTAAGTACGTTATATGCCCTCTAAATTGTTGCTCGTTGGCTCTTACATTTCGTGTTCTACTTAGAGCCGTACTAGCTCCGAGTACCATGGTCGTTCTCCCGCGGTGGAATATCAATCAAGCCTTAGCTGCTATTTCCAAGTATGTCATATCCAAGTTAGATTTGGAGCGCTTTGGTTGATAGACATGTACGTGTCCAGATACAAAATATCGCACTTGGGTCTCGTTCCGTCTATTGTCCACCAACTCGTCAACTCGCCACAAACTGCAAAAGCGGACTTGTCAAGCGTTCGTGTCGTTGGATGCGGCGCTGCGTATCTTTCACCAGACCTCTCGGAGCGCTTCCGCAAGATGCTTGGACACTCTGCGACGACTCAAGCAACGGGTGAAGAGGCGGCTGTGGCGGAGGGATATGGTCTTTCCGAAGCGGTAAGGAGTTTCAAATTTCAGAAAATTTTAATTCGTGCTCAAATCTTTCTTTTTGTTTTGGCTTATTCGTAGACAATAGGAAGTATAACAAGGCCAAACCCTGGGCAATACGGTCTGCAGCCTGATCCGAAGAGTACTGGTATTCTGATTACGGGCCAAGAGGCACGGATCGTTCGTGAGGATGGCTCGGATGCGGATTATGACGAACCTGGGGAGTTGCTACTGAAGGGTAAGACCGACTTAGTTGTTTAAGCTCATTCAGTTTTTTAATTAACAAACCCGATTTTATGAAGGTGGGAACGTTGCATTAGGGTATTGGGGTGACGAAGAAGCAACTCGTCAAGCGTTCCTTCCAGATGGCTGGCTGAGAACCGGAGACCGTTTCCGGGCGACCAAGTCTGGTGTCTTATAGTACGCACTTTTCCTTGGGTTTCCTTATAAAATTCTGCATACATTCGATAATTAATTGCTCTTAAATATTGTTTACGTTTACAGTTATGAGGATCGCTTAAAAGACACACTCAAAGTCTCAGGCGCCCAAGTAGCCCCAGCAGAGATTGAACAAGTCCTGCTCTCACACCCTGAAGGATTCGTCATCGACGCGGTCGTTGCGGGAGTTCCGGGTCCTACAGAGCGTGATGAGCGTGTTCCTCGCGCGTGGGTCGTCCTTAGTCCTGCTGGTTCTAAGTTAGGTGAGCGTGAGGTGGTGAAGAGGTTGGATAGTTGGGTTCGTGAGAGTTTGAGTAGGTATAAGTGGTTGACGGGAGGGATCGCTACGGTGAATGAGATACCGAAGAACCCAACTGGGAAGGTGTTGAGACGGGTGCTTGTTGATGAGTATATGAAAGAGAAGGAGAAGGCGGTTAGAGCGAAGCTGTGATTTAGCTTAGTCCTTTCTTCGCGTATAGCGTTTTTTCAATTAAGTATCGTTGTTGTTTGCTCTTAGATTGTTGTATAGATGCACGTTTCGTTGGTTTTCTCTCTCCTAACGTCTCTTGCTACAATTTCGCTTTGCTTGGACTGTTGATCTTGACGGTCGTTGCACAGTGAACAATCTAAAGCACCCAGTGGGTAGAAATCTCTTTAGGAGTGGCAATGCTAATACCAACGTCAATAGGGTATCAATCCGCAGTCCATGATTTACGACTGCCTAACAATCGAGTTTCGTACTTAAGCTTTAGATTCTTTTTACGAACCATCAAAGCCCGAAGGTTTTTTCCCAACCTCGAAGGAGAACCCCAATCGAACGGCCAAGCAGCAGTAAGCGCAAGCAGTGAATAAATACAGCTATGCATATATCTTACTTCTGCACCTAATTTGCGTATGACACACATATATATATAATTTCGAATTTGTCCACAGCGAATCGAAAGAATGTTACAAAGGCTCAGGGGAGTGGTATGAGCGTACGACGGACGGCTTCCTTGAGATACGATAAATAATTGTTTTGAATTTTGAAGCTCGAAGTGTATAGTGCGGAATTGTCGATGGAAAGTTCTTTGACACAGCACCGTAAAAACACTGCTAACGAAAATATATACAGTATATCGTGAAAAGTTCGAAAGAAGGCAGTTGCAGTTGTTGTTGTTTGTGTACAGTGTACAGTGTACAAATGGACAATCTTTGTATTTCCGAGTATTATATTAATTACTGATAACAATCGGTGTATTAAACAAACAAGACATAGGTTAGTGACTAGACAAAGACGCACCAGGAAGTAGTCCGGCACACGACGAGATACCAAAGGCTCGCCTGCTCGTGGTGCCGGATCAAACTGTAAGCTATACGAACACGATATTTTATCAAGTCAGTTCAGTTCTTAAGGGTCAGGAGTAAAGAGAGAAGAAGAAGGGTAAGATCAGGACGTACAAGCTATAAGCTAATTTTTCGTCAATCTCCATGATCGCTGCTTGGTTACCGCACCGATAGCAGTAGTTTGGTGCGCTGAAGATTGTTACTACGTTCCGGTCTTGACTCCAGTTGTATCCTGGAATAGATTTATGATGATAACATCAGTTACTCTAACGAAGAATATATAGAGGTAGAGTAGACGTACCTTCCATGACCAATTGATGTGCACGGGCCACAAGAGTCAAACCATTGTTGTGGTTGAAGGCTTCTGAGATATCTTGCCCGAAAGTGTATCCTGCACCCCGAGGCGAGATTCCCCACCCACACCTGTCATCGGGATCTGACCATAGTAGATCGCACATCGGGCCTTCGTGTGGTACCTCCTGCACACGGTCGATGGATCGGACATGGTCGAGGGTATCAATAGAAGGAGAGAGGCCGCCATGAAGGCAGAATATCTAAAGACAAAGCGTTCAATCTGACTTGCGTCGTGCCGCGATGAAGTGATAAAGATTGCGTACTTGATTTTCAATGAGTGCGGTTAAGGGTAGGTAATCGAACAGGTCGGTGAAGTAGCGCCAGACATTGGCATTACCATACTTTCGCAAGCATTCATCGTAGAACCCGTATACCTGGGTGATCTGGCGCGACTCGTGATTACCTCGAAGGATGGTGACGCGATCGCGGTATCGGAGTTTGAGGGAGACGAGCAGGGTCACGGTCTCGACGGAGTAGTAGCCACGATCTACATAGTCACCCATGAAGAGGTAATTTGTATCTGGTGAGTTGCCACCGATGCGAAAAAGTTCTGTGAGGTCGTGCTATCATGCGCGGGCATGAGGTCGGAGATATTCTTTCTTTCGAAGTGAGGGTAGAGGGCACGTACGAATTGGCCGTGGATGTCTCCGCAGACGGTTACGGGGCACCGCACGGGTTGGACATTGGACTCCTCCATGAGTAACTCTCGTGTCTAGTGAGATTGGCGGGCAGTGCATATATGTGAGTGTGTAAATAGGCGGTAGTGCAAATGGCACGCGAGGAAAGAAACATGCCTTGTCGCATAACCTTTTTACGTTGTCCTCGCTGAGCTGTTTGCAGTCTGCAAGCTGTTCGATCCATTTGTCTACTTCTTGTGGTTCGATCATGACGCTCTAAGGGTAGCTGTGTAGGTGGTATGATTCCAAGTGTTGTTGGTGTATGGGTACGAGTACTGCGTAGCGTGTGTCATACGTGTGACACTTGTCACTTCCTAGCGCCCTCTAGAACGTGAAGGCGCGACGCGTACTCAACCTCCATATTTTATCATGGAGCCGCAAGCTGTATATGCGACTGACGAGGTAAGCATGCGATTAGGGAATCAAAGAGCTTACTGACGTGTGGTCTAGTATGGGAGACCGTTCATCATTGTTAGAGAACAGCAAAAGAAAACTCGAAGTCATGGGGTCGAGGCAATTAAGGTATGAGATCCTTAATTCTATGCGTCCACACCCGCTCATAATTATGCCAAGTCTCATATCCTTGCAGCTCGAACAGTTGCAAACATCGTCCGGACGTCCCTAGGTCCCAGAGGTGTGCTATGATTTTTCTTTTCTGGATTGAATGTCGATGGACGCTGACGCATGTATACAGGCCTCGACAAAATTCTGATTTCACCAGACGGCGAAATCACCGTGACAAACGATGGTGCCACGATCCTCGGTCAGATGGAGGTTGACCACCAGATTGCAAAGCTTCTCGTACAGCTCTCAAAAAGCCAGGACGATGAGATTGGTGATGGCACGACCGGGGTCGTAGGCACGTCTAATTTTCCTTGCTATCGTAAATTTTGATTAATCCGTATTCTAGTGTTGGCTGGAGCATTGCTCGAACAAAGCGAAGCCTTACTGGACCGAGGAATCCACCCTACGCGAATCGCTGACGGTTTTGAACGTGCATGTGCTCTTGCTGTAAAACACTTAGACGGTATTTCGGATACTGTCGAGTTCTCGAAAACCAACACCTCAAACCTCCTAAAAACTGCCATGACAAGTCTTGGGAGCAAAATGCACGTGTAATTATTATTATTTGATAACTCTCATTTACTAACTTGATACGCAGTGTTTCCAAAGAACATGAACGCTTCGCTCAGATCGCTGTAGATGCCGTCCTTTCTGTCGCCGATCTGGATCGGAAAGATGTCCTCTTCGACCTCATCAAGGTTGATGGGAAAGTTGGTGGTTCACTCGCTGACATAGCGCTGATCAAAGGCGTACTTATTGATAAGGACATGTCCCACCCCGGCATGCCGAGTACAGTTAAGGATGCGCGCGTTGCGATTCTTACATGCCCGTTCGAGCCACCTCGTCCAAAGACGAAACATAAGCTCGACATCACGAGCGTCGAGGAGTTTAAGAAGTTGCGCGAATACGAAAAGGAGAAATTCTCGGACATGATTAAGCGAGTGAAAGATACTGGTGCTAATCTTGTCATTTGTCAATGGGGTTTCGACGATGAGGCGAATCATTTGCTTATGCAGAATGAATTGCCGGCTGTGAGATGGGTTGGTGGACCCGAGATTGAGGTTTGCTTTTTCCCTCGTTACTTACATTTTCAGCGACGATTTAATGTTAATTTGCAAGCTCATCGCCATTGCTACAAACGGCCGAATCGTACCTCGATTTGAGGATCTGACATCAGAAAAACTTGGCAAGGCAGGGATCGTACGTGAAATTACCTTTGGCACCACGAAAGATCGTATGTTGGTCATCGAGGAATGTGCAAATACTCGAGCGGTCACTGTCTTCGTGCGAGGTTCGAATAAAATGGTAAGACACCATTTAACTTGCTCCATGATGAAGGAAGCTGAATACCATTGGTGCTTGTAGATCATCGATGAAGCTAAACGGGCTCTACACGATGCGATTTGCGTGGTGCGAAACCTTGTTGTGGATAACCGCGTAGTGTATGGTGGCGGAGCGGCAGAAATCAGCTGCTCGACAGCAGTTGCGAAAGCTGCGGACGAGGTATACTTTTTCTCTTATAGGCACTCTTTCATTCTTAATAATCTCACTTCTATATTTACTAGATCCCGTCCATCGAACAATATGCAATGCGTGCCTTCGCATCTGCACTCGACGCCGTCCCACTGGCTCTCGCAGAAAACTCCGGTCTGTCTCCAATCGAGACTCTCGCTGAAGTCCGTAGTCGGCAGGTCGCAGAAGGGAACCAACGTCTTGGGATTGACTGTATGGGTAAAGGCGACAATGGTGGGAAATACATCAATGACTTGATACGTTTATTTTATTTTGACTGTTCGTACTACAGATATGAAACGACAGTTCGTATACGATCCACTTATCTCGAAGAGGCAACAATACCTCTTGGCTACTCAAGTGCGTTGTTTCTAGCTAGGAACTCGTTTTTCGGCATTGTAGATTATACTGACGCAATGTTCAATTTTCATAGTTGGCACGGGCTGTTCTCAAAATAGGTTTGTGCTCACACGTGTCTTTTATGGAGGGTGAATAACTAATTGGAATGCGTCTTTTTTTTCTTGCAGACGATGTAATCACGGCCGGTCAAGATTCGGAGTAAATTAGATTTGCTTAGATTTAGGTTGAAAATTAATGTAAAATCGAGTTTATGCCGATGCAGTTCATGTTAACATATCTAAAGTGAAGTCTATTTGATTCATTTGAGATGATGGAAAACGCTTCTACCGTACATACAACACTTGTACTGAGAAGTAATACATACACAATAGTCAAAACAAGAGAAAGACAAGAAAGCAGTATATCCGATCCATAAACAAGAAAAAAAGTGCACACAACATTTACTTATATACATACGTTTAGTTCCGTCAGTTGTCAGATTCCAGCAAGGAGGGCGTTATCGATCCAAAACCTGGACAATCGACTCCAGTACGACTCTCGGTTTCAGCACGACCCGTCTCTCCACCGTCTGAGGCGAGAACTCCCTCCCCTCCTTCCCCTTATTCGTCAAACACTGTAACCCAATCTCAGTCGTACACAAAACCCTCCCGCGACTAGGTCCATACCCCTCATACACATTCTCCATCGTCACGCCATTAAACTCCCGCACACTCTCAACGAAAAGAGGTTGGAAGTCCGTGCTCATGGTGCCTTCACGGATGATATACGCGAATCTGTTTGCGAGTTCGGAGATTCGTTTGAGTTGGGTACGGTATTTTTGGGTTGAGCGGGTGAGGAGGTCGTCGATTTCGCCGAGGCCTGAGGCGGAGAGGACGTTGGCTACGCCGCGGAGACAGGTGTCGGTTACTTCTGTTGTTGCTAGGTTGTCGATGTTGGGGGAGAGGGAGCGGATGTGGGCGTGGGTGAGGGCGCGCCAGCGGCTTGAGGTTGGTTGGGGTTCTGGTAGTGGTAATTATGAAGCGATTGAAAGGTGGAAGCGTAGTTGAATGATGGACGTACCTGAGGCATGCATGTGGGAGTATATCTTGGATAGATGAGATTCGAGTTTGCCTGTCGAACCGAAGCAGAATGCGGACATGGCATGGCTGATACACTGACATATACACGCTGGCAAATATAGCATTTAGTCAAACTGCGGACTACGTTATAAATAGGCGCTGCTTACCTTGTAATGCATACTGTAATAACGTCGGGTCCTGCGAATGGTCTCTTTTCTCGAGACACTGGCGCATCTTCGACCCAAAGCGCGCTGCGACGCGTTCAAGGGCTTTACGTCTACTCGTACCGGGAACGGGCGAGGGTGAGGGTGTGTTCCTGCGTGAGCCGACTGCTGTTGTTGTTGAGTTTGTTGGTGGTTGCATCGCTTCGCTTGCAGCAGCGGCGAACTGTAGGATCTCGGAGTTGATATCCTTGACGGCCTGTACGAGGTCACTTCCCGCCCAACGGTCTGTCTTGGTGAGGAAGCGCTCCATCGAGCGGACTTCCAGCTTGCGTTCCTCTGCAACTCGTCGTAGTTCGGCGTTCTCTGCGTCGAGAGTTCGGTTTCTCTCGCGCAGCTGTTCGAGTAGGATGTCCTTTGTACGGACTTGGGTCGTTGCTTCTCTGAGCGCGGACTGGAGAGCATAGTGTTTGTCGCGGAGGAGCTTTAGCTCGCCGCGGAGACGGGCGATCTCCTTTGCTTGTGGTGATGAATCCAGAGCGGACGAGGAGGGCAAGTCGTCACGGAGAGAATTAGAATAATAATTGGCGTTGCTGTTGTTATTGTCCAAGTACTCTTCGTGGTCCAGCCCGTCCTCGTCTTCGTAGAGGTCGCGGTCGTCGACGACACTGTTCCTGTTGGTGTTGAGATAGGCCCTGCCGGGAACTGATGATGGGCGGTCCGAAGGCGGGAACCAGCTCTGAGCCGAGCGCAGAGATGCCCGTGATGGCGGCGGAGGGTGATTGTGAGCGTAGTAGTCGGCAGGTGAGTTGTGCTGCTGTAGAGCGTGCATTTGCTGCCTGGTGAATTTAGCCAACTTTAACGTGTATTTTCTGTGGTATGGTAGGCAACGAGGACGGCACGAGGCTTCAATTTTTTTTTTATTTCAATTATTTTCCGCTGCGAAGTCCCGGTAACCCCTCGCTCACTCGTCCTTTTATCTACATACTCCTCTCTGCTTTTCTTATATTCCTTATCTCCATCTCTCTTCCCCCGCATTTCTTACCCGACACCAGCGCCTCGCCTACCGAGATGGCTGGAAGCAGCAAAGCAAATAACAGAAAACCCTACAACGGCGACCGCCGTGCACTCGCCCTCGCCTTCGACGTCGGCACAACATTCTCAGGCGTCTCCTACGCCTTCCTCGAGCCTGGAGAAGTCCCAAAGATCCATGGCGTCACTAGGTGCGTATACATTGCGCACGCGGAGTGTGCTTTCATATCCGCATACATATAGATTATCGTCTTGTCGCGCACGTTGTTCTATGCAAACAAACTTTCTAACATTAAACAATTGCAACACCATGCAGGTACCCCGGCCAGGAGCACGTCACGGGGAACACGAAAATCCCCTCGTTGCTTTACTACGACCGAAGTGGTCGCGTTGTCGCTGCAGGTGCAGAGGCAGAGAGCGGCCAGACTGCTGACGAGGCAGAGGATGAAGGCTGGACGAAAGTCGAGCTCTTCAAGCTGCGCTTGCGCCCGCGACGCATGGAACTTGATATGAACGGCATGCGACTCAGCCCGCTCCCCCCTGGCAAGTCCTCTGAAGACGTGTTTGGCGATTTCTTGGCATATCTGTTTTCTTGCACGCGCAAGTTTATTGAGGATACACATGCGAATGGCAAAAAACTCTGGAAGGTCGTCGAAAATGATATTCACTTTGTGCTCAGCCATCCGAATGGATGGGAGGGTGCTCAGCAGAGTCGTATGCGCAGGAGCGCTATCAGCGGTGGTCTTATTCCTAATACAGATGAGGGAAAGGCTAGGATACGGTTTGTTACTGAAGGCGAGGCAAGTATGCACGCCTGTATTCTCAACGGCCTCGCGCACGACGTCCTAGCATCTGGAAATGGATTCGTAGTAGCCGATGCTGGAGGCGGTACTTTGGATGTTAGTAGCTACATCTTACGAGGAACACATCCACTCCAAATCGAGGAAGTAGCCCCTCCTGACTGTAAGCTGTTCTCCTATCTTTAATTTGTATGCACCCAAATAACCCCTGACTGATATCCTAAAGGTGTCTTCGCTGGTGCTGTCTTCGTGAGCCGAAGGTGCCGAGTCTTTCTCGAAGGTTTGCACGTTCGTTCTCCATCTTCCCGAAGCAGCGATAAAGTGACTTTCTATTGTGTGAACCTTATACAGAGAAGCTCCGAACTTCGAAGTACGGTTCACCGGATACGCTGGACCATATAACCAAGCGCTTCGACGAGACGACAAAACGACTTTTTCGTGATAAACATGAAGTGCAGTACATCAACTTTGGATCTCCGCTTGACAAGGATCTCAAAGTTGGTATTCGAAATGGGAATCTCAAGCTTGCTGGGTGAGTGTGATATGGCATGCACATCATGTGGCTTGATGCTTCGTGAACACGTTTTGTTGATTATGGGTTCTTCCAATCTATTCGTACAGCACGGAAGTGGCTGAACAGTTCGAGCCCTCGATCCAGGCTGCGGTAGACTCCATTCGTAGACAAATCGAACTCTCTAGGGGAGTAGTGAAGGTATGCACCCTTCTATAATCAGCTTCAATACCTTTTTAGGCCAACTCAACGTATTTGTATTAGGCCGTTTGGCTTGTAGGAGGATTCGCTGCCAGCCCATGGCTGTTTACCCAATTGCAGCAACGTCTTGCGCCCCTCGGTGTCACGGTCAACAGGCCCGATAGCCAAACGTAAGTGCATACATGCCCTTCACCCCATTCCAGTCACCCCTTTGCCCAATACCCTTTTGGCCAGCTCTATCTCCAACGCTTCCTAAAATAGTTTACTCACTAATCTGGTTTTACACATGTTAGATCGAAAGCTGTTGCCGATGGAGCTATTGGGTTCTTCTGCGATCATCACGTGTCCGCACGGATGTCGCGGTACATGTATGGTGTTGAGTACTTGCGTGAGATTGATGTGAATGATGAGGAGCACGTTACGCGTAGTGGACGTCAGTTGCAGCTACCTTCCGGACCGAAGTATCTCCCTGATGCGTTTGACTGTATCCTTGCCAAGGTATGCACCCCCTTACCTGTTTTTGATCTCATCAAGAAGGTTGTTGGGCTAACACTGAGCTTGCGATGATAGAACGTCCGCGTAAAAGAGAGCTCTGTGTTCTCCCGCAAGTATTACACAGAAGTAACTAAATTGAGCACTCTCTCGGTATTTGAGATCGAGATCTGGTGTTACCGAGGAGGCGAGACGATCCCGAAGTGGATCGACAGAAATTCAGGTAATGTCTCCTATTTTCTAATTCTAATGTTTGTTGACACCCATAATATAAACCTGGATATCCCAATCATCTCAAATAGACCACTTCGGGAGCTTGTGCTTCGTGCGCGCAGACTTGTCAAAGCTCAGTAACAGTGCTGAGCCGAAAAAGGGAGCTAATGGACAGACTTATTGGACTGTTGTGTTTAGTATTGAGATCCATTTTGGGTTGACGGAGTTTAAGGCTCGTATGAAGTGGAATGAAGATGTAAGTTTCGTACAACTCTCCGCAAGGATTCTAGTCTAATACGCTTGTTTTATTAAGGGCAAGACGAGATACGGTCCTGCGACGATCGTGTTCAATGAGAAGGGTGTACGTAGCGACGAGGATGATGGATACTCAGTTGCTGGTGGAGAGGACGCAATGTCAGTCTCACCGCGTCGTCCGTATGGCTCACTGCTCAGTCATTCCTCCCGCGACCCAACTTCATCTAGTCGAAGCTCGCGTCATAAGGAACGCGATAGAGACAGAGGCATGCATAGGTCTCACTCTCATAACACACCAGCACCACCGCTTTCTGGTACGGGCATGAGCCGGTCAATGAGCGGACAGACAGATGAGACTGTAACTCGCGAGCCGTCTCCGCCACCAGTGTCAGCTCCGCCTTTGGGAAGTTCTGTCAGTGGATCTGTGAGAAGGCAGAGTAGGTCTCGCGGCTTTGGTTCTTCGGCGCCATCTGCTCGTGAAATCGAACCGGAACCGACGCCTGAGATCGACATCATACCCCCAGCGCCATCGATTCACTCGCGTACTGCTTCAGTCGCTGGACCACCTTCGATGGGCTCGCGGGCGCCTTCTGCAGCAGGAGCACCGCCCATGTCAATCCACTCGCGTGCACCTTCTGCAGCTGCTCCGCCATCAGTACACTCGCGCACATCGTCGGTCGCGGCTTCGCCCGCTATGCAATCACGCGCTCCCTCTACCGCTGTACCACCATCCATGCACTCTCGTGCACCCTCGGCAGCTGCAGTACCTTCGGCAATGCATTCTCGCGCTCCATCAGCTGCTGCTGCGCCCGAGACTTCACCAGTCCTTTCACGTGCACCGTCCAGCGCAGGCATCCCATCCCGGACACCATCAGCCAGAGAAATAGTAGCAGGACACTCTCCAGTTCCTTCTCGTACACCGTCTACAGGTAGTAAGCCATCAATGAGCCGTGCCCCGTCATCCGGCTCCCGTGTCCCGACGGTTACTCGACAAAACTCCAACCGTGGAGGGTATGGTTCTCGTGCGCCGTCGCAAATGGCGCCTGTGGATGAGGGAGACTTGTACGTTCCTACTGAGCCTGATCTTAACGGCTCCGCGGCGGATTACTTCAATCAAGCGCCGTCGGCTTCGGGTGGTTCGGGAGGTCTGGGTGCCCCGCGTTCACTTTCACGTTCTATGTCGCCTGCACCGCCGGTTGAGCGTGAACTTGCAGAAGAGCCGCCTGCGCCTCCGTCGAAGCGCAATAGCTTTGGACTACCTCCTGTATCTGAAGCGCCGATCCTTGAAGAGAAGAAAGATAAACAGAAAGGCTGGGGCTTTGGTGGTAGCGGCTTCGGAGGTGGAGGTGGATGGGGTTCGTTCCTTGGAGCGAACGGACAGCCTGCAGAAGGTGCAGGTGCTCCTGGGTTTGGGAACGCCGAAGAACCGTTCATCCCTCCTCCACCTGGAGCAGACGCATGGGGCGAACCTGCTGATCATATTCCTGCAGCTCCTGGAGCATGGGAGTTCGTCGAACCTGCCGCACCTCCACCTCCACCGGCTGTAGAACCTGAACCAGAGCCTGCGCCTGGTGTCCCTGAACCAGCTCCCGAACCGGAGGTTGCACCTATGATTAGCAAGACTGAGTCTGGTCGGTCGAAGGGGAAGGGAAAGAAAGTGAAAGGGATATTGAAGAATGGGAGTGCGAGTGCGAAGGCTGCTGAGGCTGAAGCGAAAGCGAAAGCTGAGAGTGAGGCGCGTGAGAGGGCTGAAGCGGAGGAACGGGAACGTGAGAGACAGGAACAGGAACAATTTGCGGCGGAGGAACGCGCGAGGCAGGAACAGTTTGAGGCTGAGGAGAGGGCAGCGAGAGAGCAGGAGGAGATAGAGGAGCTTGCTAGACAGCAACAAGAAGCGGAAGCTAGAGAGCTTGAACGACAACGTCTTGAACAGGAAGATATGGATAGGTTCTATAGGGAACAGGAAGAAGCTGAGGCGAGAGCTCGGGAGGAGGCTGCTGAACGCGCGAGGATCGAGGCTGAACAGGCGGCTGCGGCGGAGGCGGAACGTCAGCGAGTTGAGGGAGAAGCTCTGACGAAGAAGGAAAAGAAGGCGCGTGCGAAAGCTGAAGCTGAAGCGAAGGCGAAGGCGGATGCAGAGGCGGCTGAAGAAGAAGCTAGAGCACGAGCCGAAGAAGCCAGAGCACGAGCTGAAGAAGAAGCCAGAGCACAAGCTGAAGAAGCAGCTAGAGTACAGGCTGAAGAGGAAGCTGCTGCTGCTGCTAAGGCGAAAGCTGATGCGGAGGCTGCTGAAGCTGAAGCTGCTGCCGCTGCTGGTGATGGTGGTGATGAAGGTGATGCACCTGGTGAACCTGAAGCTGCTCCTGCACCTCCGGTGGACGCTGCACCCGCAGAGGACGAAGAGAAGAAGAAACTCGAAGCAGCTGTTGAGAAAGCCGAGGCTGAGTTGGAGAAGGCGACTGACGAGCACAACAAGGCTGAAGTTGCACTGTCCAAGCTTCAGATGAACAAGCCTAAGCCGAAGGGGAAGAACAAGAAAGCTGCTGGACCCTCGCCGGCTGAGAAATCTGCGGAACGGAACGTTCAGACGGCGGAGGGTAATGTTAGCAATGCGAAGGAGAAGCTTGAGAAGGCTAAGAAGGCGCTTGAGGAGTACGTCCCTCCTGCAGCACCGGAACCTGTCGCTGCTCCTCCTCCTGTGGCGGAACCAGAACTCGCACCTCCGATTAGCAAGAATAATTCATCTGCGAGCAAGAAAGGCAAGACTAGCAACTTGTTCGAGTTCGGTGGTGATTTCGGGAACGGGGATAATGGCGGAGGTGAAGAAGATGGTGAGGGAGAAGCCGAGGAGGAAGGCGAGAAAGAGGGTGGTGGTTGGTTGGGAGGCGGTGGTGGTGGTGGTGGTGGATGGGGAACAGGAGGAGGATGGGGCTTCTCGAACGTCCTTGGTGGAGGTTCGAATGGCGGTAGCAAGGGTGGTAGCAAAGCTCCTACTAGTAGTGGACTTTGGTAAGCTCTTAGCTAAACGACAAATGCAGAAACGCACCCTCTCTACACGGACGTGTTGCCGGTATGGATGTATGGATTTTGATATATGGCTATGGATATGCTCTCTTTTTTTCTTTCTCTTTCCCCCACGTTGTTCCTCTTGTGTTCTCATGTTATGCTTTCCATCTTGGCTTTCAGTTGTGTATCGTGTTTGTTACGTTCAGCAGGATCTGACTTTCTTTTTCTTAACTCATGCTCTTTGGTTTCGAATACAGTATCCAGTAGACACCCCCCCCCTCTCATCTCATCCCGCGTTCACTATCCTCCTACTCAAACTAATGTCAGTTAACCTGACGTGCGCGTTCTGTATTGATATCTAGGGCACTTACACTGCTGTAGTCCTCTGTAGCGCTTGCTTTCCTTTTCTCTTTGTTTTGTTGTGGCTTTCTTAGCTTGTAGCGTTTTCCCTTGGTGTTCTGTTTTTCTGTATGTTTTGAGAATATTTAGATGTGAGACGGTTTTTGTCTTGTTGGGTTTAATGTCCAAATTTTAGATCTTGCCTCGTCTGTTTTTATTTCGTGGTTAGAATGGCTGGGAATATCACGAGTTTTTCATTCTGACAAGTGGCCTGTGTCTCTGTATTGGATTACATGACCACGAAGGAACGCGCGTGTAGCAAGACGCGTCAGCTAAGTCAATCCACTTATTATACTTGCAATGCTGTGTCTGTACCAGATAATAATTTCTAGCTTACAATCCTGCTTCAATTGCAAAAACCAGTGAAACCACCTCATCGAATAATTATATGCGCGATATAACTAAAGAAATTGGAGGTCAATTATACCAGCTGTTATCCTACAGAGGCCAGTTATTTATTTATCGTAACTAAGCGGTAAACAGCACAACAAAGCAAGACCAATTCTCTGTGTGCTCCGCTTCTCTGACTTGTGCAAAGTACAAGCGAGACTAGGCCTCATACGTAAAAGCCACGAGGCACGAAGCGTGTTGCTACGTGACTGTCACGCGTCCATGCGTGGCCGATCGCTTGTTATATTCAAAACCCAAGGTTTGCTTTCCTCTCTTGCCCTCACACATTTCCGTGTTCTCCTATTCACCCGCGCACTCATCCACCCGCCCTACAGCATCTTATCGCAAAACATCCAACACGCATTGCACACGACTCGCACCTGCGTCAACCTCTTGCATCATTGTTGCAGTCCGTTCCGAAGGTGAGCATGCACGTGCAAAACATGTTTTTGGCTAGCAGAACAGAGAGAGATAGCTTACACGCGTTGGACACGCTCGCTTCGTCCAGTTTTCTGGCCTGAACGGCTTATACATGTCATTCTCGAGCACACCGCTCGGTCAAGACAGACGTCTCGATCATCAAGCTTTTCTCAAGGGCGTACCAATCACGTACGGTACACATCCTCCTCCCCCTAAACGCGTTACATCTGTAAACAACCCGGTGCCTATATCATACGCCTACGGGTAGGCCCATGTCTATATCTCTTCCTTCCCCACTTCTCTCTCTTCACTATGTCTTCACCTTCCCCGTGTAAGAAGTCTCGCTCATGTCGTTCTTCACCTACTTGCAGGGCTCCCGAGCTGTACTCTCGATCTTCAAGACAACCAACGGCTACTGCACAAGCCGGACGTACCCAAGGTACAGACGATAACGAAGAAGAATTACGACGCACGCGCTACACTCAACTGAAGCAGCGTAACGAAACACTCTCCAACCGCCCAGGTTCGTCTCTTGGTCCGGGGATAATCACGACACCCCCACAGCCAAACGAGGCCACGCTCAACCCCACTTCAGTTAATATAGCCAGTGCTTTTCACGTGGCTGCTTCATCTTACACTATGGCTCCCACCACCACCTCCAACGCATGGACGGGCGTGGGCAATCGCCCCGGCGTGCCTCGTAGTACGTCCGTGGAATACGAACAGCAAACTCAAACGACAGTAAATCGACGCCTTGCGAATCCTCCGAGGAGAGTACCTGGCTCAAAACCACCGTCGGCCGCCAAAACTGTCCCGAATATCCGTAGTCCGAACGCAGAGGACGAGCAAGTAAGAGCGAATGGACGTGGGAAAAGCCCGTTCGAGCACATTTCCGAATACGCGCAACGTGCCGTATCGCAAGCTACGTTCTTGATGCGGCAGCGCTCACAAGAACCCGAAGACGGCCGCCCACCTTCTCGTCAAGCCACAGATGCGACTCTCGTTCCTCCGAATAATAGCAATAGTTATGACTACGCGGAAGAGGAAGAGGAGTTCCAGGAAATGCAGAAGTCGGGGAAGAAGAAAGATCTAGTACAACACAAGCGCAATAGGATGTCGATGGATAATAAAGCTTATCGGCCGACTGCCTCGGATGAGGAAGAGGAGTCCGATGAGGGATCTGATGATGAAAAAAGGGGCAGGAGAAGAAAGAAGAAACGAGATAGTGGAGGTGGTGCACTTACAAATATGCCAACCATTCAGTACGATAAGAGGAAGAAGAAGAAAGGCCGATCAGGGAGGCCTGGAGAAGATGACTATAGTGTTGCGGATGATGAAGAACAGGCCCAGGCTAATGAACAGGTTAGTTTACTTCCGTGATTTGCATTGGATTTGCTGATTGAATGGGTCTGATCCTTAGCGTGATCGTCGCTCCGCGACTCCCTTACAACGTCCACCTTCCGTTCCTCGCGGTGCTGCACCTCTCGACAGTTCAAGAAGCTACGACTATTCTGGGACAGCCGACGGATCAGCAGATCTTGGAGCTGGTCTTGATTCCATCCCTGAGGTTGACGAACTATCTGTGTTGCAGCCGATACATGAGGAAAAGTCGTTTGCTAGACATGGTCGAACACGCTCACGCTCGCGTTCGCGGGTGCGCCAGGCGCAGAGATCCACCATAGGTGGACCACTCGGGAAGCTTGTAAACCTCCTATGTGTCTCTGTAATCCGGCTTCTCGCAGTAATATTCCTCTTCATCGGCCGCATCCTCGGATTCATCTTCAGCATACTCTTCCGTGAACCTCGGTTATTCCTTCGACGACATCGTACATTCGCTCGACTGGGCATGTATGCGATTGTTGCTGGCGTCCTGTACCTTTCGATCCGGTTCTTCAAGTTAGATGAACGCTTCGATCTCAGCCTTTTACCCGGGTCAAAGACACCTTATACTGCTCCACAATTACCGCCGGAGAGTGTGGATGAACTGACATCTCGGCTCTTGAAGCTTGAAAACGTACTCGCTAGTTTGCAGTCAGATGCAATTAGTGATCGTCATAGACTTGACAATGATGCTCGTCGGTCGCAGGAAATGACCTCTCGCTTGAACCTGTTGGAGTCGCGTATCGACAAGGAGATAAGTCGCATGCAGAGAGCTGGGGAGGATGTCCGGAGTGCGGCATTCAAGGGTCTCGAGAGTATACAACGGGAGGTTCGTTCGCTGCAAGCCCAGCAATCGGAGTTATCCTCGCGACCAGAGGGCGCACAAAACGACGAGGAGGCGAGAGCGAAGTTGAAAGCACTCGAAGAGAGACTTGGTTCTGTGGAGGGCGGTGTGAAGGAGGCTCTTGAGCTAGGGCAGAACGCTGCAAAGGCAGGCTCGGCTGTTGTCGGCGCTGGCAGTGGTGCGCATTGGTGGTCTAAGCTCGGGAGTGGCTCAACCTCTGGACTTACGATCAAAACGAGTGATGGCTCAGACGTGACTCAATTAATTAGCGGTCTCGTGGAGCAGGCTATTATGCATTACACTGCAGATGGTATTGCCCGTGTGGACTACGCGTTACATTCAGCAGGGGCATACATCATTCCATCTCTCACCTCACAAACCCTCGAGATTAAGACGTCATATTTCTTCGGTCTTATATCGGGTGCATCGTTATATGCGCGTTCGCCTGTTACTGCGCTGCATCATGAGACAGCTGTTGGGTATTGTTGGCCGTTTGCGGGGAAGCAAGGGTATCTTGGGGTTAAGCTTGCGACGCCTGTGAGGATTACGGAGTTTACGATTGATCATGCTTCGAGTGCTGTTGCGCTTGATATGAGGTCTGCGCCGAGGCGTATGGAGGTTTGGGGGATGGTTGAAGGGAAGGATAACGTTGAGAAGTTACGGGCTTATAGGACGGGGTTGCAAGCTGGGCGGAACGCTGCTGTTGAAGAAGGTCGCCCTATCCCATCTGCAGCAGAAGAACCTGCACGTCCGAGTATCCTACCGAAGAGATCGGAGTACATTCGTATTGCAGAGTTCACGTACGATATCAACTCGCCGCAGAACATTCAGACTTTCGCTGTACCTGAGGATGTCAAGTCGCTTGGTATTGACTTTGGGCTGGTTGTGCTGGCTGTGAAGGATAATTGGGGGATGGAGGAGTTTACGTGTTTGTATCGGTTCCGGGTGCATGGGGAGCGGAAGGTTGAGTTGCCTCCACCTTTAGATTCGTCGGATTCGTCGGATTCGTGATCTCTCTCCTTCACGCTGGATTTTCTGTTTCTTATTTTCTCTTTTTTTTTCGTCTTTATTTCTTTCTTTCGCGTATCTACTTACGAATTTTTATTTCATTTTCATTTATCATTTATCTCTTCTCTTCTTTTCTCTTTTTTCTTCATAACGGCATTGGGTCTGGTTTGTGCATAGTGAACTTATTCCATTATTCTCATCGTGCTTTCCTTGCCTTGCTATCCTGCGCTACCCTCTCACTTTTCTTACTCTCATCTCAATCTCTCACGTTTTGCTGCTTAATTATTATTGGTTTTTTGCTGTGGTATCTGTTCTCCGGCATTTACGTACAATACCTATAGAAGTATCAGTATCACACTCGAATGAATGAAGAATGAAATGTACAATTTTCTCTTTTCTGCTTATCTTTTGCTCGTTTGATTTCTGACGAATGGACTGTGTGCATGTATAAGTTATTATATATACTTAAGTACCTCTGAGATTATAGGGTAGTTGGTGTAAACAATGATAGTGTGAAGATGACGCTGATGTTGTCTAGAAACCCTGGATTGAATTTCCTTACTTCGTATGCGTAGATACGTATATCGAAAGTGTACATTTATTCACCATATGAGTACATGATACAAATCGGGGTATCGTGCATTGTACCGTCGTCAGCCTTATCATCAGCTGTAAATAACCCCCCAGAGCACTGTAGATCACTACAAGTCTGCAAACTTGTCTGCTGCCTATAAGTTGTTCAAGATAATTAATTAGATGGATCAGCAAGGGAGTAAGTAATACATTTTTTTTAGTGTCATAAATAGCAATTAGATAGGATGGATTTGAGCGTACCTCGACGAGTAATTTCGCAATCCCGGGTTCGCGAGCGGAATGTCCGGCATCGGGGACGACGTGTAATTCGATCTCGGGGAAGACCTATAAAAAAATCAAGACAATTAATATCGTGTAGAATTTATTGTATCTATATCTCTTGGAATCCAAATGAGTAGCGAACGTACCTTCTTCAGAGCGTGAGCCGTTGTGATCTGTATTCGTCATTACGGTAAGTTCGAAAATACGGAAAAGGTAGAAGTCTGAAAGGACAAAGCAAGGATAGGTGAGATGGACATACGGGACAGACGACGTCGTATCGGCCTTGGACGACGATGGTGGGTATATGCCGGCTTTGGTGTTACGAGGTGTGCGCAAGTGGAAAATAGCAAGTGGACAGCGGAAAGTAGGAAGTCAGGATCTAATGTTCAGTTTTCCGGAAGTCATTGCAGGGAGGGGAAAGACACACATCTTGTCGATTTCTTGTTTCTCCAGAAGTTGTCCGTCGCGCATGAATCCCTAGAACCACAACACGTCAAAATGAAGAGGAGCAAGGCAAGGCGAGGAAGGAACGACTATTAAAAGGTACGTACGCCATTGACGAAATAGTGGTTCTCAATCCTTGCAAAAGCACTATGTGCGCAAAAAAGAAATCGGGCAGATTTACGTGAGTGTCTGTTACAATTTACGATAAGAAAGAAGACAGTAGGACTCACTTTGCCCAGTCGTCCTCAGTTGCACGCGCGATGTACTCGGGGTCGACGTGTAGCTTGGATGTCCACATCCTATCAAGTACACCGATTTATCCGTCAGAATCAGTAAAATGAAGAAATTGCTCGTCCTAAGGATGGGCTAAAGTTGATAATAGACAGATTACGGCACTTACTCCCATTTGGACCACGCCTTCGCAGCACGAAGGCGTACTTCTTCGTCAGCAGCGTTGAGCTGTGCGTGATACGCAAGGATCATATCTTTTCTTTCTGCCTCTGGGATGGGCGCGATGTATTCGTCCCTGCATTAGTGTATAGCAATGAGAGAAGAGGAATGAGGTAAAGATGGACTGGACATTACCATGCTTCAGGGAATAAATGCGATGCACCGTCTTGATAGAAGAAGTTAAGTTCGCTAATAGGAATATCCATTTAAGTAACGCAATATTGCATTTCAATGAATGAGTATTAATTTATCAAACCTGCGACGAAGAGTGAAGATTCCTCGTAAGACGAGAGATTTGACCCTATCCGGATGACTCTGCTGTCACGTCAACAGAGCACTATTAAGTTAAGGGGTTAGAGAGCACCTGTGCATATGCCAATGACAATGTTGAACCCTATTAATGCGATATTAGGTATTTTCCTGAGTATTGCAGATAAGCAACAATACTTGCCCAGGAACCACCAAAGACATGCCACTTGTCTATACTAAGATGTTCTCTGAGTTTCTCAATGTCCTTTACGAGATCCCAGGTTGTGTTCTCTTCAAGCGAGGCTGATCTGTGTGCAAATATCAGAGACTCTGTGACTAAATACATAGGACTTGATGCCCTTGCTACGTACGGAGTTGACTTGCCCGAGCCACGTTGATCGAAGAGGATAATCTGCACCGAATTAACTGATAGCGATGGACTTAGAGAAGCGATGGGCGTGCCTTATATTTCTCCGGATTGAAAAAGCATCGGTCCTGCTGGTCACAGCCTCCACCAGGACCACCATGCAAGAATACAACTGTGATTCCAAAGATGAGTTTACAGCCTTGGGAGAGGCATTTGTTCCAACTGAACGAACCGGGAGTCCCGTCTTTATTTCCACTCAGGTCGTAGCTTTTGGGAGCAGTTTATTGAAAGACAGTCAAGTTAAGAAGTAAAAGAATTCTAGCTAAACTGACTAAAGGGTATGCAAGTCGGAGACTTTGAGATAATCGACTTTATATGGTGAAATAGGTGGATAAAGATTCGACTGCTTGGGTTGCTCCACGGGCGCGGGCTGGGCAGATCTTGCGATGGTCGACATTCTGAATAAATTGGTGCGATTGAGGCGATTGAAAGAAGGGGAGATGGGCTTGAGAGAGTGAGAAATGGAAGACCATAGGATCATAGTATGGTAGTGAATAACGTGATCCGAGTAGGAACATGAGAGGTGTTTCATTACGTAATGCTCGCTACAGATACAACTTGTTCTCCGCCATGATCATCAGTCTTTGTACTTGATTGCTATGTAATACTCGCAGTTCGCAGTGTTCCCAGGAAACGATGATTCGATGAATACTCGTACTAGCGCGAGTCATTTCGAGCATCGGGAGCGCTGGGTGGCTATGCACTGCTAAATTGCTATATAAGACAGGCACAAATCACTAGTACTGGACATCTGACCCGCGGTATACTCTCTGCTCTGAGTTCCACCATGCCTATTTCTATTGACGCGTCCAAGCATCTCGTCAAGGCCGTTACGGTCTTCAGCTCCTCTAAGGCTGAGGTCGTCCGTACCTTTACCGTAGACCTCGAAGAAGGGCAAAATGAGCTCTCCATCACCAGTCTTCCATCTTGTATGGACACCGACTCTGCACGCGTCACCGGTCTCGGAGACGCCGTGCTCTTTGATGTTGTGTGTACTGTTATCGATGCGCGTGATATGCCTCCCAGCTCGGACGGTGACGCGCTGAGGGCACTTGAGCGTCGCCGCGAAGTGCTAGAGGGTGAGAAGTCATTACGCGGCAGAGCAGCAGATATCATGGTGCAATATGGGCGCTCTATGAACGCGGAGTACACTACTCCCGATGTTGTAACCTCGTTCGTGGACACACTCGTTAAACGCGGCGCAAATTCACTTGACGAAGCTAAAGTATACGACGAGCAACTCGCAGAGTTAGACAAAGAGATTGAGAAAGAGAAGCGAAGACTGCAGAAAGAACGTCAGAAGCCTGCGGCTCGCGGTCGGGTCACCGCCGTCATCATGGCTAAGCGCGCTCGTAAAATTGAAGTTACGCTTACCTATAGTATGTAATTTTCAGATGTTCTTCTATTTTTTTTACTGACATCATGGTTCAGTGGTGAGCAATGCGTCGTGGTCCCCGTCTTATGACTTGCGCGCTATCACGGAGGATGGTAAGCCTTCTCGTACTGTGTCGCTGCACTATCGTGCGTCCATCCAGCAGAATACTGGCGAGGATTGGCGGGACACGGCAGTCTCTGTCAGCACTGCAACCCCAGGGACATGGTCATCCATCCCAAGTAGACGAGCCATGAAGATCAGCCCTGGACAAAATACGGTCTTTGCCAGCAAGAGCATAGGCGCGATGAAGGCAAGTGCGCCTGTCCAACGTCAAGTGATGCAGCAGCAGCAACAGGTTACATTTGGAAATTCAGCTACCAATAACGCGAACACTAGCTCCGGACTCTTTGGCCGGGCTCCTCTTCCTCCTCCCCCTCCTGGCTCTGCTCCTGCACCACCGCCGGCTGCAACAATGGCTTTTGGCGGCGCGCGCCGGCGTTCTGCACATGCTGCACCAGGTCCTACCGGAGCTGCCGAGGTTGTTGACGATTGGCAACCTGTCGAGACTTTTGTTGAGACTGTTCAAGAACCAGAAGATGTCGTTGCGAGTGACAACGATGACGCAGCGTGGGGTGAAACGAAGACGATCGTGACAGAAAGTGCCGTGGCCAGCTCCTTCCGGATTGACGGGGACTGTACGATTCCCAGCGAATTAACCGCGCACAAGGTCGCCATTGCTCTTTTGTCCTTTGATGCGAAGGTGAACTATATTGCGGTTCCACGGTCAGCCCCAATGTCATTCCTTCAGGTAATAGCTTCATTGATACTATCGCCTCATTATCAATTCTGACGTGCCTTGTATCTATAGTGCGAAGTCAAGAACACCAGCCAATATCGCTTGCTTCCTGGCTCTGTGAATGTATTCTTGGACAACAGTCCTGTGTCAAAGACCAATATCTTTGTTTGTACTACTCCTTTTGCATGTACCATTTTAATGCTAACACAGACAATGATACAGGATATCAATCCGGAGGAAGTCTTCAAATGTACGCTCGGACCAGATCCTGCCTTGCGTATCAAGTGTACTCGTATGCCGCCGGTTGTTACGACTTCCGGCTCTATGTACGTTGCGCAGACGAAGATCACGACGTACAAGATCTGTACGACTGTGCAGAACGGACATAGCTTCCCTGTAAAGGGTTTGCAAGTCCGTGATACTGCTCCTAATACTGGGGAGGCTGCAGAAAACAAGGAAATTAAAGTCGTGATCAAACTTCCTGAAGGCCTGGCTGAAGCTGCTCCTAACGCAATCGTTGATGTTCCGAAGGCATCTGTGCCTGGAAAATCTTCAGTGAAGGTGCGTTGGGAGCCAACAGGTGGTGCGAAGGAGGGCATGTACGTGTGGTTGGTGGACTTGGGTCCTGGAGAGGAGGTCAAGTTGGAGGCGGAGTACGAGGTTCGTGCTCCCGAGAACTATGTGTGGCACATGCGCGAGGAGCACTTCAATTGATTGACGGTTTATTTAAACCATTCTCAATTGGCCAATGATGTACGGTATCTAGTGTACTTGTATCTAAAGTTGTCCCGCAACGCGGCAAAAATGAAGATTGCGATTGTTTCTGATCTAGTTTCTTCCCTAAAATATAAGCACCAGTGCTGATAGTAATATCCAGTCAACTACACTCCTATAAGACAGTGAACAGTAAGTTAAGGATCAGCATAAATGTCCTTTCGTAGATGAGTCAAAAAAGTCATGTCAACAAACAATAACATATCATTCATAGAGACCTTTCCCTTAGATCATAACACACATAACACACATGCTATATAAATCCTACATTGCAAGCCAGGCTAATGAACAGAGTAGTCTTGCTGTTATTTTCCTCTCCATTGGCCGCATCATCTGGTTCACCTTCATCGTCTGACGACATTCCAAACCGGCTCACCCAGGCATGTACGCAATTGTCACTGAGTCACTGATATTTTGTACTTTTCGATCGATACATTCACATCATATGAGCTCAGACGTGACCCAATTAAAGGCTTTGAAGAACAAGCCATTGTGCATTATACTGCGCATGGCATCGCCCGTTTGGACTACTTGCACGTTGGATTCAGGTGCTTATAACGTTCTGTCGCTCACGTCACCTACACTTGGGATTCAGAGGTTGTATTTCTTCAGTCTTATATTGGGTGGATCGTTGTATGTGCGGGTTCCTGTCACCACGCTGCACCGTAGACAGCTCTCGGGTAACGTCGGCCGTCCCAGATCTTGAGGCGAAGATTGCGACACTTTAAGATTGACCATGTCTGTCATGCCGTCGCGCACGATATGCATCCTTTACTGCGGCACATGGAAGTCTAGGGTTTCTCCTAAAGTGAGGACAACCCCGAATATCACGTGTTCTCTTCACAAGAGGCTGACCTGTGCGCATATACTCAAAGCGGTCGTAAGTATGAGTACTATTACCACATACGGAGCCGATTTTCCCGATGGCCGTTGGTCGAAGACGATAATCTGCAACGAGTTAACTGACTGCGACGGGCACGGAGAAACGATGGCGTGCCTCATCTATACTTTTCTGGATTGAAGAAACACCGACCTTGTTGATTACAGGTCCCCGCCAGGACCGCCATGCATAAGGTACAAGTATTACGGCTGTGCTTCCAAAGATGAGTTCGCACAGCCTTAGGCCAAACATTTGGTCCATGTAAAAACCAATCAGAGTTCTGGTCCTTATTCCGGTCAAGTCGTAACTTTTTCGGAGTTCGATAATACACCGTCAAGCTAAGGATTAAGTTTTCCGATCTGTCTACAGGTATGCAAATCGGAGACTCTGAGAGATAATCGACTTTATATGGTGAGATTGGTGGATAAAGGTTCGGTTGCTTAGGGCGCGAGCTCGATCTTGCAAAATGGTCGGCAGTGTGAATAACTTGGTGCGATTGAGATTGAGCGTGTGAATAACTTCAATCAGAAGCATCACAGAACATGTGATCCGAATGTGAACATAAAAGGCACGTAATACTCAATAATACTTACAACTTGTTCTGCATCATGATCATCTATCTAGATCTGCGTGCTTTATTGCTGTGTAACACCGCAATAGTGTCCTAAGCAAGGAATGGAATTATGCATGTTGGTACTGGGCGCGAGTCCTCTCCGCTTTTTTTGCGTGTGGCTATGCAAATTCACATGTAAAAGACGGACACTTCTCACTTTTGCTGGACATCTAACTCGCGGTATACTCTCTGTGCTACACGACCATGACTATCTCAATCGACGCATCCGAACACCTCGTCAAAGCCGTCACAGTCTTCAGCTCCTCTAAGGCTGAGATCGTTCGTACCTTTACCGTAGACCTCGAAGAAGGGCAAAATGAGCTCTCCATCACTGGTCTTCCATCTTGTATGGACATCGACTCTGCACGCGTCACCGGTCTCGGAGACGCCGTGCTCTTTGATGTTGTGTGTACTGTCATCGATGCGCGTGATATGCCTCCGAGTTCGGATGGTGACGCGCTGAGGGCCCTCGAGCGTCGCCGTGAAGTGTTACTGGGCGAGAAGAAACTGCGGGGCAGAGCAGCAGATATCATGGTACAGTACGGACGCTCTATGACTGCCGAGTACACCACTCCGGAAACTATAACTTCATTCATGGATACTCTTGTTCAACGTGGCGCAAGTTCGCTTGAGGAAGCTAAAGCATTCGACGAGCAGATCGCAGAGTTGGACGAAGAGATGGAGAAGGAAAGGCGAAGACTGCGGAAGGAACGTCAGAAACCTGCAGCTCGTGGTCGTGTCACCACCGTTATCATGGCTAAGCGTGCTCGCAAGATTGAAGTCACGCTCACCTATAGTATGTAATTCTAGAGCTTTGGCACTGTTTCTTGCTGACACTACGGTTCAGTGGTGAGCAATGCATCGTGGTCCCCATCTTATGACTTGCACGCTACCACAGAGGATGGTAAGCCTTCTCGTACTGTGTCGCTGCACTATCGTGCATCCATCCAGCAGAATACGGGCGAGGACTGGCGCGACACAGCAGTCTCTGTTAGCACTGCAAGGCCGGGAACGTGGACGTCGATTCCCACTAGACGAGCCATGAAGATCAGTCCTGGCGCAGTGCAGGCAATTGCACATGTCCAACCTTGTGTACTGCCGGCGTCGCAGCCAGGGCAGTCTGCAACTGAGTCGAACACAGTCGTGCCTGCCTTTTGTCCTCCTGCCTCTCCTCCTCGTGTCGTTATCGTACCATCATCACGATCCCGCCGTTCGCCTTCACCCGACGAAGTTTATTTCTACCGGCGTGGGTATTTGCGTTCGCGTTCGCGTTCACGTTCCCGTTCACGTTCATTTTCACCCGCTGAGGGTCATCGTCGCCGACGTTCACCTTCACCCGCTGAAGATCATGGTGACTGGCACTCCGTCGAACCCCAATATGAAATGGCCGTTGCAAGTGACAACAATGATATTGCTTGGGGTGAAACAAAGACAATTGTGACTGAAAGCGCCGTGTCTAGTTCGTTCCGAATTGACGGAAACTGCACGATTCCTAGCGAACGGACAGCACACAAGGTCGCAATTGCTCTTCTATCCTTTGATGCGAAGATGAACTATATTACGGTTCCGCGGTCGACACCCACGTCGTTCCTTGAAGTACTATTTCACAGTGTTTTCGACTCATGACTAGTACTGATCACAGTTTGGTTACACAGTGCGAAGTCAAGAACACGAGCCAGTATCTCTTGCTTCCCGGTTCCGTAAATGTGTTCTTAGACAACAGTCCAGTATCAAAGACCACTCTCAACGTGCGTAATGCTCCTCCCCACATTTACGGGCGACACTTATATATGTGTGTTTATATATCTTAAAGGACGTCAATCCAGAGGAAGTATTCAAATGTACGCTCAGGCCTGACCCGGCTTTGCGTATCAAATGTACTCGTTTGCCACCAGTCGTTACAACTTCCGGCTCTGAATACGTTGCACAAACGAAGATCACAACGTACAAAATCTTTACAATCGTCCAGAACGGGCATAGCTTCCCCGTCAAAGGTTTGCAAGTTCGCGATACCGCTCCCAGCACTGGAGAGACGTCGGACAAGAAGGAGATCAAAGTTGTAATCAAACTCCCCGAAGGCCTGGCTGAAGCCGCACCTGACGCAGTTGTTGACGTTCCGAAGGCATCTGTACCTGATAAATCTTCAGTGAAGGTGCACTGGGAAGAGAAGGGTGGCGAGAAGGAGGGGAAGTATGTCTGGTTGGTGGACTTGAGTCCTGGAGAAGAAGTCAAGTTGGAAGCGGAGTACGAGGTTCGCGCGCCCGAGAATTATGTGTGGCACATGCGCGAGGAGTACTTCAATTGATGGCTGGCAGTTTTATCTGGCCTAGTGCGCACGCTGTGTGATGTACAACGTATAGTGTAATTGTACCCTGAGATAAATGACCTGACATGGCGTTTATGTGATGAGATTAATGGATAGATCGATTGCTTGGGTACTCTACGATAGAGGCTGGGCCATTTTGTGGTGCGACAAAGAACTGAGACATAGGATGTGCACGCAGCTCTGCATTACTCCACCATGACTATCTCCATCGACGCAACCCTCCACGATGTCTGTTCTGCCACTATCTTCACCTGCTGCTCCAGTGCTCAGGTCTTCCGCATGTTTATCGCAGACCTTGTAGAAGGGCAGAATGAGATCTCTATCATCGGTCTCCCATGACGACTGGCAAGCCATCATGGTCCAAACAATTCCAGAACCAGAACCAGCCACTACAGGTAATGACAACAGTGTCGCACGGGATAGGGAAAAGACAGTAGTGACCAAGAATGCCGCGACTAGCTCCTTCCAGATTGATGGTACCTGTATAATCCCTAGCGAACCGACAATACAAATTAAGGTTGTCATTGCTTATCTGTCGTTTGATGCAAAGGTGAACTACATTGCAGTTCTGCAGCCAATGCCTATGTCGTCCCTACAGGTACTAGTTTAATTGTTTCTATTGATTCGTTATCAAATCTGACCATGACCTGTTGTACGGTGCGAAATCAAGGACACTAACCAGTATCACCTACTTCCTGGTTCTATGAATGCGTTCCTGGACAGCAGTCGTGTGTCAAAGACAACTATTGGCGTTCCTGCTGTTTCTTTTGCTGTACGAGAATGATCGTAATTCAAATGTGAAACTAAAGGACGTCGGTCCAGGGGAAGCCTACAAATGTCTGCTCAGTCCAGATCCGGCTTTGAGCATCAATCGCACTTGTCTGCCATTAGTCGTTGCATCTTGTGGCTCTGTATACATCGAATAAGTGATGGTCACAAAATATAAAATCTGTACAACTGTCCAAAATGAACATGGCTTCCCTGTGAAAGGATTTCAAGTTTGCAATGCCATTCCATATATTGGAGAGTCGTCGGACGAGGAATGAAAGTCCTTAACCAAACCCCCCGAAGGCCTGGATGGAGCTGCACCTGATGCAGTTATTGACGTTCCGAGGGCATCTGTGCCTGACAAGTCTCCAGTGAAGGTGCGTTGGGCACAGGAGGGTGGTAACCGAAAAAGGAAAGTATATCTAGTGGACGGACATGGGTCCTGGAGAAGAAGTGAAGTCGGAAGCGGAGTATGAGATTCGCGCCCCTGTTGATCATGTGTAACACATGTGTTAGAGATACTTCAATTAGTAATTGCTAATTTTTCAGTCCCCATTAATCAGGCGGACACGTTCTGTGCTGTGCAGATTTTGTGTACTTGTAGCTATGGCTATTGCTCGATACGGCAGAAATAGAGTTTGTTACTGTTCTTGAATCGAATTTGTCCACGAAGTACCAGTACTACAGTAATGTGCGGCGGATTCTACGGCCGTCTGAACATACATTACAAAGCAACATAAATGACTTTTGTAGATGCCACAACATACATTATAATAACATTTATCTTCCGGGCCTCACTCTTAGAACGTTACAGCACAAGTGTGTGTTATATTTGCTGCATATGTTCTTATTCTAAACAATTAACAATGTGGCACCAAGTCGGCCAAACTCGGAGATTTACTTTGCAGCTGTCTTTCCTTCTTCAGCCACTTCCAATACACCTAGCCATTGTGAAACCTTTGCTCTCGGCGACTCTGCACAACGGAGCAAGTCCCATGTTGGTATCCACGTTCCCTGTCTCCCCGCGCTGTTGTTCCTACTATATATAATTCCCCCTTAGTCGTGTCCTAGCATTGCACTTCAGCTTATTCCCTGTCCCTCCCAGACCTCCGTGCCTGGATACAATGGCTGACGCGAAGCAAGACCGTGACACCAAAGAATCTAAAAAGGTGCATACACACTGGATATTAACAACGTATGCATCAGCGCACTCATTAAGCATTTTACGTGCTGCAGCCGATACACAAATACAAGTACACAGTCAAGGTACAGTATCCATTGAAACCTCTCGCACACAACGTTGCTAACATTACTCTTCAAATATCAGTTCAGTAAACTCATTATTGTACCCTGCTAATGAGTCTACCTGTGAAGCTGACACAGGTGAACTACAGGGAAACCCGGGAAGACCTTGCAGACAAGCTCAACAACTTGAGGCCTCAGGGTCTTAAAAGTTATAACATCTCTCACGAGAAGAAAACGATTGATGTAACTGGAACAATTGGATTTGACAAGGTAACGGAACATCTTAATAGGTGGGGTGTGAAGGTGAGTTCCATCCGAGTCATCACCTTTACTTTGCTTTGCATTCAACGCATTGTGCCACACTGTGCTCATTTGTGTATACCTCCGTATTCGTTCATGCCACAGATTGAATCAAAAGAGGAGATCGTTAGTATTGGGACAAGGCTTCAGAATATGATGCGCAGCCTACTTTCACTCGGTGCCAAACGATAGTATTGTGCACAGTCCCTTTATTTATTGCACACATACGAATGAAGTATATAGTCGACCCTTGTACACTGAACGAACATTCTGCAATTATCTAGTATACCCGTAGTGATAGATAATTAAACAAATGAGTGTGTGCAAAGGCCACGATTCAGTATGAATTTGCAGTGCTAATCACCAAGCACAAACCAGACTTAGATAAACATATAATTCAATACTCTCAATCCAAGCTCATACTACTAGGCAGCAATCATGATTATATTACTTACTTCTGCATCCAGCAGTAGCCTACTTAAATCTGCTATACTGTCCATTATTTCTGTTTGTTTTTAAAAAATTGTATTATAACATTGGTGGGTATTGTCACTATTATGTTAGCAACAGTGTAGAGGGGACCTGAAGGCTCAGTGAGGGGACCCAGGCTACAACTATCCTACACAACAGAAATACAGAACACAAGTACTGGAACATAGTTGGAACTTGCAGAACAGACAGAGAGAGAGAGTGAGACAAGAGTAGAGTATATAGAGTGAGCCTAAGAGTACAGGACTACCTAGAGTAGACAAGATCAAGACTACAGGACCAGTCTGATCTTGTATGCCTATATATACTAAACTACACAAGAGTACTCAGGGAGCATGAGCTACTAAGAATGATAAGCTATGAAGAATGAAAGAAAGGAAGGTCAAAGATAAAGGTACAAAGAATAAAGGGATGGACAAAGGGTAAGAGACTATAGAATGAACAAAGAATGAAAGGGTGGTCAAAGGAACAGAATGATAAAGTAAGGAGGGGTAGTAGTAAGAGTCAGTATACATATAGTTTATAGACAGTACTCTTAAGGGACAGAAGTCCTGAGTTCTAGTACAGAAGGGTGTAGAACCCTTAGAACTAAAGATACAAGAGTAGAGAACTGTAACATCACCCCCCCTCTAAAACCAATTGTCCTGATTGGTGAACATTAGGCTTGGTTAGTAGCTTAAGTATAGGTCAGAATAGTAGGGTTTGGAAATCTGTAAGGTAGAGTTAATACAGAGCACTCAGATGAAGTTGATAGAAGTCTCAGATTGTCTTAGTAGTATAAGTGAGATTCTTGACAGGTTCCCAAGTGTGTTCTTCAACTGAGTATCCCTTCTAGTAAATAAGGAACTTAAGCTTTCTGTACACTAGCTTAGTATCTACTACATACTCTACTTTGTATTCTGGTTCAGAACTGATAAGTTCTGGTAGAGGTAGTAGGGGTCTTTGTTACAAAGGAAAACTCAGATTATAGTACTAAGACAATAGAACCTTGTTGAACACTAAGTGTATACACTTTCATGTTGTTAGAAGTTAGAGTTTGTAGACAGAGGTACTAACCTTCTTTTTAATAACAAAGGGTTTAAAGTACTTGTTGTCCAACTTCTTCATTAGGTAATCCATAGTCAGATTAGTAGCTTCTAGTATAACTTTGTCTTTAGGCTAGTAATTCTTAGCTACAGATCTCTTCTAATTATAGTTCTACTTTACTACCTATACTATCTTCTCTAAAAGAGTTTGTGTGTTTTCCTTAGTCTTGTGTATCTGTTCTACAAAGTCTGTTATAGATTCAGAGCTACTGTTCTAGTTCAGAACTGTCCTCTAGTATAAATGTCTCTCATGATTGAGGAAGAACAGGGACTGTCCTGTTACAGAGTGTTGTTAGTTATTGTGTACAAATTCTGTCAGAGCTAACTATTCAGACTAGTCTGACTATTAATGATTAATGAACATCTAGAGATAGAGTTTAATCTCTTAATTGACTCACTCAGTTTGACTATTAGTCTGTAAGTAATATGTAGTAGAAGGGTTCTCTTAAATTCTGAGAAGTGTATACAAGTTCTACATGAATTTTGACTCAAATTATGGTCTACAATTGTGAATAAGCTTCTGAGAGAGTCTGTACAACTAGAAGATGTAATCCTGATAAATGTGTACTATACCTTTAGAAGTAAGTTCTGTTTGAGTCAGAACTATATAGACTTGCTTAGAGAATCAGTTAACAATTATACAGATAGTATTATAACCTTAAGACTCAGGTAGCTTACTAATCAGGTCTACTAAGACTTCTTCCTAAGAGTGATCTAGAATCTAATACAGATATAGAGGAGTCTGAACCCTTGTCTAGTAAGCCTTAGTCTGTTAGTACATATTGTAACTAGTTATATACTTTAGGATTTCCCTCTACATTCCTAACTACTAGTAGTTCTAAGTAATGAGTTTCTGTATTTTGTGTTAGTCTAAATGTTCTACAGTCAGATTGTTGTAATAAGCTTGGACAATGTCCTCCTACAGCTTCTAATTCTTTAGAACATACAGTTAGCCTTCCTAGTAAACCTGTCTATCCTTATCCTTCTCCTAGTCTCTAGCCTACTTCTCTAACTACTTTACTACAACCTAGTCCTGTATGTGTCTTAGAGCTTACTATATGTAGGCAACAAAGTTAATATTCTTAGATTCAAGTTGAATCTCTTAGATTGTCTCAGACACAAAACAGGAATTGTCTAAGAGAACAAGATTTTTGTTATTATTCTCCCCCCTTTTATAATCTACTTGTCTTGAGAGTAAATCAGTTTTCATTATTTGTATTCTGAGTTTGTAGGTTAGTACAAAGTTATAGTCCTACAGTTCTAACATCTAGTAAGCCTAATAGTAGTTAAGCTTCTAAGGTACTTAGAAGTACTAGAAATTAAGGTGATTACTCTAAATCTTAAACTTTTACACAGTACTAAGGAGATATTAATACTACTCCTCTAGAGAACAGACAATTGTAAAGAGTTCCTTATTATAGATAGAGTAGT